TAAGCCAGACTGTTTACTACAAAGAGACGATAAAATAATAGTTTGCGAACCTAAAATACTTTAATGTAAAACGCAATTAAAAATATTTATTTAATGAAATGAAAAAAAATTACATTTAGTTCACCGCCATTATTAGCAATTAAAAAACGAATCGATAAGACAAATAAAATTCTTTATAAGGTTTTGACTAAAGTTATAGCATAGTCAGTAGAAGCTGTGTATTATCGCGAACTGTACTAGGAGATGGTAAACGTTCTAAAACGTAAAGTTATTATCTGGATTAATAAACAACATATTATCTGTTCGGTAAAATCTAATTTAGAGGTATGCACTATTAGCGTTGAAGTTTATTGACTATTAAGTTTGGACCAACGATAATTTGTTTTGTAACATTTTATTTTATATTTTAACAACACAGTTGGTTTTAAACAAAACATTTTCGGTAATCGTTTTTTTTTTTTTAAACTAGGACACGATTATAATAAACTTGCAAGTGTTAATGTTTTTGTATAATATGCATGCTGTAGAATCGAAAATGAAAGGAGTACTTATTGTACTTTGGGCATTGGTGGCTATCTGCATAGCGGAAGCACCAAGTAACGTGTTTGCTTTCAAGTGTTATGAAAAACCAACAAAGTGTTCTGAACAAGGCTTCAAACAGTGCACCTTTTACGTTGAAAATCACCCTCTCGACTACAATTTTCTAAGCCAGGTAATTTTATAGAATTGGTCTAACTGCATGCGGTTGTAAATATTAACTCATACGGTAATACAGAAAATTCTATTAAACAAGAGTTGTTCATTGTTATTAAATTAATGCTGAATCGAAATAGATTATAAAATTCTATACTATTGGACAACTTTTACCATCAAAATGTTCTTTACTTGATCACTTTGTTATGTGTTTTTTTCGTACAAAAATATCGATAAGAACCACCAATACGCTATTAAGTACAACATAATTGACTATAACGTCAACAATTTGTATTATTCATATTATTTTTGTTATAATCTAATGTTTAGAACCATTTGTTATATAATATAATGCGTTAAGTACATATTAAGGATAACGTATTGCGTGAATTTATCCGGCAGTCGTCTTCGTTGATCGTTAAATTTAACAGTTTTGTATTTTTTTTTTTTTAGTATAAATTCAACGAACTCCAAAGAGGTCAAAGAATAGATATCTATGACGAAATATATGAAAATGGCGTATGTCACGAGGTCGATGCCACGTTCACGTGTATTTATACCAATCCTCACATCGTGGATGAAATCCAATTGATCTGTATGGCTAAACGTAAACTACAACTGTGGAGAATTGACTCCCTTTTTAACAGAGTATGAATCTTTTGTCAAGACCACAGACACCATTTCGAAAGTGAAGGACGATCGAAGATCACAAATATTGCAAAATATTCATTTTGCTATAAATGTCTGATATTGATTTATTTTTTAACCTTATATAAATCATAAAATATGTTTGTTTTGAAAATGTTTCAAATCACCGTGAACGACAATGTTATAGTTAATTTTTACTAAAAATAATGTATGTACGATATATGTGTAGTGGTATTATTTGTGAGTATTGGTTCGTCCGACATGAGATTATTTTTATGAAACAAAAACACATTTCAATAAATAAATAAATCAACTTTTTTTAAATTACTTATAAAATTAGTAAATATTATACAGCGATAATCAGGGCTTACTGGACAAAGCCATGAGGGCGCTTGCACCAACAGAGGCTGATGTGGCGACTGCCCTATACAGACAGTAGTTTTCTTTTTTTCCCTACCTTTACAACACAAAATACTAGAATTACAAACGTAGGCAAAATTCGAAAAAAAATAGACGGTATTGAAAAACAGCGTCAAGGGCGGATTGTATTTGGTCTGTTATTTTTATGTTTTAGACTAAAAAACCAGACAAAATATCGACTACTTAGGATGATCTCCGATTTTGATTCTCTAAAGACGTACGATGTATTTGGCAACTTTAGTAGGTTATGTAGAAAACAGATTTTTTAAATTTTTTAGGTAAAAAAAGCTTTATGTCCCCTTTACATATTATTGAAAAAATTGCAAATTAAATTTATTTAATTACATAAGAAACTGAATTTTTAAATGAAAATCGGCTTCCTACATAACATAGTAAAGTAGCCAAAGAACTCGAATCTCTTTACAGACTTGAAGTAGACCATCTTATGTAGTCGACATTTTGTCTGACTTTTGGTCTTAAACAAACCAAAATTGCTTTTACTTATAAAAACTAATTAAAATTTAAAAAAAATATCTTTAAGCTTAATATACAAATTAACCAGTAAATTAATTGACATGATCAAAATTTATTAAAACTACTTTTTCCTTAAATATTACCTGTACAAAACTCCTTCACACACAGATCCCAAGAGCATAGATAATATTATTTATTAATTTTAATTTAGATTTTTGCAATTACGTTGTTACTTTACAATAAGAAAATTTGAAATAAAATTGTTTGCAACAAAACCCATAGCAGATAGGTTACTCATAATTTATGTAGTTTTTTTTTTAAAAGGCAAAGAAGTGTTAAATAAATTGTGGCGGCCACGATAAGTGTTTAAAAACTAAATATGTAATAACATTACGATGCGGTTAATGTCGATTTTGTGATTTATATTAAATTATATTTAAGTTTCATCTTAAAACTTCGGTAGAGCGTATTGCAACTAATGAAAACCTAACAACATTTTCTAAGATAATAATACAAATTAACAGGCTACGAAAATGTAATGCTATTTCGATTAAGCCAGACTATTCGCTACACAGAGACGATAAAATAATAGTTTGCGAACATAAAATACTTTAATGTAGAACGCAATTAACAATATTTATTTAAAGAAATAAAAATAATTATAATACAATTTGTTTGCCACCGTTAATAGCAATTAAAAAACTTATCGATTAGACAAATAAAATTCTTTTTAAGGTTTTTGACTAAAGTTATAGCATAGTCAGTAGAAGTTGTGTGTTATCGTGAACTGTATTACGGGAAGGTGTACATTCTTCAAGGTAAATTTTTTATCTAGATTATTAAACAACATATTATCGATTTGGTAAAATTATATTTAGAGGTATGCTCTTTTAGCCTAAAAGTTTATTGAGTTTACCAACGACTATTTTGTTTAAGAATTTTTTATTTTTGGGCGGAATTTTAGATATTATTTTAAGAATTTCAGAATTCTATTAACATTTTAGAAACTTTTGAAAAATGTACTTATAATAAGCACATAATGCCCAAATAGTGTTATTTTATTCTTAAAAAAAATTAGTAAAAAATATCTATATTTAGTAAAACAGATAAATATTTGTATACATGATATATAAATAAATATATATTTGACTATATTAGATTTTTTAATGTTTGTAAGACGAAGCCCGTCCTATAGAGCGCGATTAATTGTTATTCTCTATGCTACAGCTATAATAATTTATTACTTATCTTATTACACTCAGACGAAAAATTGGCGTACGATTTTGGTTAAAAAATCTAAAATGTATGTACCATGTTCATTGTACTCTTATGAACAGTAAAATATGTTTTAGTTGTCTAAGCTTCCACTAGAAGATGACAGATACTTTCCTCTTCTGAAAACGCGAGCGCTAATATTCGTTTACAGTGATGTGCCATTCCATTTTCAGTTCTTTCTTACAATCTACAAGACATGACGAGGCAATAAAGTTAAACGGAATCTAAATGACAACAACAGGGAAAAAGTATAAAATTAAATGTATATTATGTTCTAAGAGACAATGATAATATAATTGCAAAAAAAAAGTAAGCAATATCCTAATCTACCAATTTTGAAAGAGGTTACAGTTAAAATCGTTTAAACATGTGTTACAAGCTAAAAATTAAATTATGAACAAAAATACATTTATTTTTATTAACTGCTTAACTGAAAAATATTACTTGGCCCGTTTTTATTCTAATTAGGCAAACACATCGTCATTATGATACCACGTTTTCAAGATTGTATTTAAACTAAATTATAATCTGAATTAAATAATATATTAAATTGTTACGAATCACACTTAGTTTATAATATAATATAGTGTATAATAATAATTATTATTCAAATAGCCTGTGAACCCTGTGAAGCCTTTATCATCTAAAACCGAACAGTTATCGAACGCCTACCGAAAATATATAATCATGTAAGTATTAATAATTATTAAATTTAAATATATACTTTTTCAATAAAAATTTGTTTTAAAATGTTTTTTCATCGTAAATTAGACGTGAGTTAAAGTAGAAAACTTATATAAAAGAAAAATGATCAGGAGAATTCCAATAATATAGATTTGAAAGGTTGAATTGATAGTTTCATAGTTGAATTTATGTGTTCATAAAAAATAATTGATTAAGTTCTATCTGAGTAACATTAATTTAAGCTGTAAGTTAGTTTTATAGTATAATACTGTTATGAATCTTAATTATTTTATCCAAACAAGGGCAGGCTGACTGCAAGACACAGAACAAAAATGTGCGTTTTGTTGCATTCATATATTTTTTCAGGTGCAAAATTTTACATTCTTAACGGGAAGTTTGGTTATTGTGTTTTAATAATAATAAACTATTACAAAAAATGATTTGTCTTTTTTGTATAAATACAAATAATTACATAATAAAAACGGCAACATTAAACTAATTATTTAAATAAGAGCTACGTGCTCTCATCCGCTAACATGAAATTCGGTATTTAATTTTATTACACTAATAAAACATAACAATTTACTTATGTATTGTTACGATTGTAATTTTGTTTGCTTATTATTCTATAAGTATCAATTTAAAAAAATTCTTTGTAACTTTATTAATTTCAATACATTTTTAAGTAAACAAGATACTAATATTATGATAATTAATTTGTAATTAGTATATTTTTTTTAAGAAATAATTTCTGATAATTTATATAAATATTTGAATTACAAATGTTTGAAACGTACAGTGTTGTTTGTTGACTCTCCTATTCGTTTATATGGTTATATTAAGAATATTATACGAACAATTTTCAATCACGTCTGTGGATTCCATCACCCCTGAATAACTTTATTGGCTTACAAAAACACAATACGACTAAAGAGACTTATACAAACATCTAAGAAACCGTGCAATGTCTAAATGAAGAGGACAGATGGTGAACTTAACTGATAAGTAGCAATCTTACGATACCGTGTCTCGTCCCATATACTGTACTAGAGGAGAAAAAAGCGTTATTTAAGTTTTCATTTCCGGGTTGGCTTTACGGATAAGACGAGGACGGTGCGTTGTTGTACGACGAAGAGTAGTCATCCGCTTGGATCCTGTAAACCGGCATGGCTGGCGACACTATCTCTACGGTTTTCCTGGATCCGGGATACCGTTCTGTGTCCGGGAAACCGTGTCCCGAAGATATGTCGACCACGGCTTCCGCGCATTGCCTGTGCGGGATCAGCGTGCTCTCCTCCATCAACGTGGCCGTTAAATGGCTGCCACCGCCTTTGCCGCCACCGCCACCTCCGCCACCGCCTCCTCCTTTCATGCAACTGTAAATGGCCACGGCCAGGGCGGCACCAGCGGTCATCAGGGCTTTACTGGACAAAGCCATCAGGGCGCTCGCGCCGACAGTGGCCATTGTGGCGGCTGCCCAGTACAGACCGTGGTAGTCTTTCTTTTTCCTACCTTTACAACATAAAATACTCGAATTACAAAAACAAACAAAATACGAAAGAATATAAACAGAAATCAGAATTGAAGTGCAACTCTTAAAGAACAACTGTCAAATTTTTCGATTTATTAAACGGTTGGGTATCGATGTTAATTTCGTCAATATCACAATTTAAAAACAAAACTAATGAGTGTACTCTTATTAATATAGTAATGAGGCCGGAGTTCTTTTGGTAATTATTTTTTTGTTAGCCTGTTGTAGCTTCTGTTTCTAACTTCTTTCAGTATTTTTCTCTATTACTATTGGTCACCTATTAACTGTCCTAGTATGCCTAACGTGGTCATAGAGTTTGATGGGTATTAAAATATTATACATATTATTATTTTTTTAAGTAGTTAACAGAAAAAAAGTGTTCTTTAAACGATTTATAGCAAAAAAAACCTTTAGAGATATCAACATAAACCAACGATATAGGTGTTTTATATTGTTTTAATTATTCAAAACTTTAGGTCAGCTACAATCAAAATAGAACAGTTCGATAGATAGTTGGGTTTACATAAAAAAGAACGGGCATGTTGCGTCCTCGCTACACTTAATTATAACGCTAGACAGTAACGAGTTTTCAAATATAATATCAATGTCGATATAGTTTACATATGTGATAGATAAATTTATTCATACAAAACCTAATGGCCTTTGACGCATTGTGAACAAATATATTATGTAGGAACCAAAATATTAAAAAAGTTTCTGCGTGTCAAGTTCTTTGAATACATGCAATGATGTAGTCTTAAACATTTTCAAACGTCGTTTCTGTAAAAAAAAAACAAGCGTTTTTCTTTTCAGGGGTTGTTTTTAGTTTCACTGGAACACACGTTACAAGGTATCCATCCCAAGAGCATAGATAATATATATATGTTTTTTTAATTTAGATTTTTTGCAATAACGTTATTACGATACAATGACAAAATGTCAAACAAAAGTGTTTGCAGAAAAACCCATATCATATAGGTTACTCATAATTCATGTACTTCTTTTCAAAATAAGCAAAGGAAGTATTAAATAAAGTGTGTCGGTCACGGTAAGTGTTGTTAAACTATGTAATAATATATAACGATGTGCGGTTAATGTTGTCGACTTTGTGGTTTATATTAAATATTTGAGTTTCGCCTTTAACAACTTCGGCAGAACGTAATGCAATGATTTCATGGTTAGGAATAACATTAATTGTTTGGCCATACTCATTCTGAGAAACGGCAACACCCTTTCGAGCATGCTGGTGCCGATCGACCTGGCCGTCGAGTTGCCCGGGCTGATCAGTTTCACTCTGATGTCGACGCTCTCCATGTAATCGCTGAGTCTTTTGCTGATCAACAAGTCCAGCTCGGTGGAGTTGGCTTGGTCCAAGCGCAAGTCGTTCGACACCATAGCCGTCTTGACACGGCTCTGGTATATCGTGAATCCCGGGAACAGTTCGTAGCTCCTATCGCCGTCCAGCGTATCCAAAAACATAAGCATGTCCCTCTTCACGCACGCCATGGTGTAGTTGTTGGAACACCGCGGGACGTCCTGCAAAAACAGCCACGGTTAAGTCACTAAGTTTGAGTACTGTTACAACGTTTCCACGTGTCTGTCAACGTTACCAAAGTGTACAAGATATGTATTGTGCCTGTGGAAGCATCACGACTTTAATTATTCTAACGCGATAAAATACAAAAACGAGTGTGATATCAGACAACATCAACGATTGCCGGTAAACTGAAATGACAGAATCACCGTGTAATCGGTGGAAAATAATGAGATAGGAGAAGAAGACGATCGAGAGAGATAACATATTTGTATAGCCGTAGAAGATGTGGAGCACGTCCGATCCGGCGCTAATGTGCATAACATTAATTTGCAGATATAATATGATTTATACAATGTGTGCATTGTCACGTAAAAAGGGAAAACTGTGTATTTTTTTTTTTTACTCCAATGAGAGAATAAATTATAAAAACAATGTTTCATATTTAATTTTACACGAAAATGAAATTTGATTTTGCTTTTTTCGTTTTCTTAATAATCTTTAACGTTAATGATTGTCTAAATGACCAATTTTACATCTACTGTAAAAACAAATATTAGATATCTTTGGCTTGGGTTAAAAAGGACCGTTCTCACTTTTGTAACTTTTGGCAAATGAGCTCTTCAAAGCTTTAATAATTGTCCGTAACTCTGTAGTTAATTATTTTACAAAACTTTTCAACCTTTTCACTTTATGTCCTGGAAATAACATTTTCGTAAAACATATTATTATTGTTTTAATTAAAACGCCCAAATGCCGTTTAAAACTATACTTGAAAAACAAGAACAGTTAAATCTATAATTTATTTCTATAAATGACTTTTATAAATAACTATTGACAAAAAGTCATATTGGCCTTTCTTCACCTAAGCCATAGACATGATGTAATTTTATATAAAGGTTGATTAATTTAACGTAAGATGCTCAATTCTCATGAAAACGTTGCTTTAGGAAAACATTTTCATGACGTTACTTTACAATATAATTGAATTTCTAAACATTTACATCTTTTAGTCATTTTCAGAGCTGAGTTAACTTTAGAAAACTAAACGGTACCGCGTTTATTACCTATAATATTTACTGAAAATACTGAATGGTCGATAACCAGTTTTTAATAAATATTTTTTGAGTTATAGTTTAAACGGGAGGTGTAGCATGTCGATTTTTTTTTATCTACACACATTAGTCAAAATTCTAATAACTCTTAAAATAATTATCCAAAACTGATTATCAATGAGCAAACAATTGCAGCTAATTTTTCCGACTTTGAACGTTACCATTTAAATTAGAAAAGTTTATACAGCTTTGTTAAAATTAATACTTAAATAAGTAAAAAATAGCTGCAATTATCCGCTTTTGTCATAACTCACACAAAAATAAATGTAAAATGTATAATATGCGTTAAACGTATTTAGTCTCTGGCACAATTTAATTAATTTGCATAGATATTACCACTTAATAAATGTTTTATTCTTTTACTTTTAAAATAATCAAATTGGAAAATGAGTATATTGTACGCAATACAAAAATGTAACTTTTTTTATGTCCAAAATTGTGTAAATATTTTTTTTTAGTTTTAGAATAAATAATTAAAATTTAAAGCATGTTTAAGATATGATTGTAAAATTTGTTGTATTGATTTTACACCAAATAATTCAAATTGTATAAACAATAATATGTCAGCTGTTGTGAAAAAATTTGTTTATTTAAGAAACATTTCTATTTTCAAAGTTATGAAAATTTTAAGTTAAAAGGGTGAAGATTTCATAGCTGTATACTTGGAATCATTGAGTTTTGTATAGCTATAGAGATACTTAATAGCTTCCATTGTGCAAAATTATTAAAAGACACAGATTTCGCTAGCTTTAATGTCAGGCGATATAGAAGTTAGTAAAATACATGTAATGATATGGCATCATGAATTTTCTAATTTTTAATCCAATTTCTAAACCTATTAAGTACAGGGAAATAGTTATCGGCTTACAGAAGCTAAATACAGTAACAGTTTTATACAAAGTTGTTTGAGTCAATGATATTAACTCGAGTCTTAGATATTACAATAGCTTGATACAGTTTTTCTCGTTCAAATCATAAAAAAAATGTAAAGTATCGCGTTCGTCGGCTTAAACAAAAGACATCAGTTATAAAGTAATTGGTGTCAGACACCATTGTTACAGTATTATATTTGAATTTTTTATTTTTAGAACGTTCTAAAAAAATGCAAAACAAGATCTGTGAAATCTTATTTTATAAAATAATGGATTACTTTGTTCTATTGTACTAATCTATTGAAAAGACAAAATTCGATCGATTAACTTTTTATATTCTGTTTGAATTAAACGATTTTTTTATATAATCTGATACCGCTATGTTTAAAATCGATACGACGCGTTACATCGCTGGACTGATTTATTTTTAATGAAATTGTAAATTTATGTATGGCGGACTGCTGGTTCTGTTATACCCGTTAGCTAGTTAACCAACATCACACTATGTCATATAGAAGGTAACCATACAAATTAACGGATGACATAATTTATCCAGGGCAGAAATTGGTCACAAATTACGAAGCTTTCTTAAAGATTAAAATCAAATAATTAAGGATGAGTTGACGATCTAGAAACTGGGAGTACCCCTAGGGCATTTTGGGTTAATATTTACAATACGATCTTGATCTTCTTAAGGACCTCGGAATGCTTAGTAAATGTTTCATTTCACGTACGACATTCAACAAAATATTTCGCACTCATGCTCGAAGATGATCCAAAAGTGTACAACAACTGTCTACAAGTATTTCAAGGGTAGCAGGAGTTGGCGTAATTGTTTAAGTTGTATTCCCATTAAAGAATGTACTCAGCTAAAAGCTATTCTATGACAGTAGAACTTGTACAAATATTACAAACATAGTACCTTCGTTAGCGACGTGTTGGCCGGACGGTCAACCGCGGCACATGGTTCTAGCAACAACGGCCACAAGCACAACAGCAACAGGCGATGGTAAAAGGACAGCGACGGCGATAGAGGTCGTGGATCCATTGCAGACTTGTCGGTGGAATGCACGAGAGGTTAATGACGACGGATACTGTTCGTATGTAGGGTGCTCGTGGAGACGTCACGTGAATCGGCGAAAAACTGACATCAAGTGAACCGTTAAACAATAGCGATAGAGTGATTAAAAACGTTTCCATAAAACTGCTATAGCGATGTACCTTTTTTTCACCTCGTCTCTCGCCCCCGCCGCCAGTGCTAATTTATTTTTTACGCCTTCGTCTGTTAATTATTATTGTTATGTATAGAAGACCATGAAAACCCCGTCGCCCTACCACTACCACCACCACCACCACCACCAGTAGCACGCGAACGTCACCATACACAAGAAAATCCAATGAAATTTCAAAGATTCCGGTGGCTATCCGCTACGGCCCATAATCGATCGGACGATTTCGAAAACAATCTAATTTGAACGGACGGTAATTATCGTGTCGGTTCGGAATGGTCATCGGCCGAGGAATTAAAAAATAGTGAAAACAACGGTCAAAACGAGCGTTTGGCATTGTTTTATTTTGGTTTTTTTTTTTTTTTGCTTACTATTATACGACAACACACGTCTAAGGTAGAAATCGAATCGGACCGGCTATGCGATAATAGATAAAGTATATATCTGTATAATTACTATTAGTTACACGTGTATTGGCAACGGCGGCGGTCGACACGAGTCTAATGAGTAAAAAACAAAAGAGAGGAATAGATAAAAAACAAAAACAAAAAAAACGGTGCGCCGCCGAACTCGTTGAAAACCATCGACGAGGCCGTGACAATTAATTTTCCGCAGTGATCTCTACACCCCCTTCGCCGCCCCCATGACACACATCAGATTATGCCGAATCACTTTTCATTTACTTTTACCTACTAAGCGATTTCCACGAGTCGATTGGGTTTTTTTTTTAATCTACAATTTACATCTCTTTTACACTGGGGATTTTCTCTCTCATTTTCGCGTTGCCGACCCACCGTTTTTAATCGTTTCGTCATACGGCCATATAAAAACTGCCCACGCGCCACCGGACAACTTCAGTTTTTGACAACGTTCCGGCACGACAACGGCATAATATTTTCTATTGCGTTTCGGCGAACAGAACAGCTAACAACGTTAAGACACACTACCATGTGGTGTCTTATGCGGGATTTCTTGTTCATCGCGGCTTTGTGCGCTTTGTGTCGTCGACCGACGGCTGTCGCGGGACAACCGGAATCGCCAACGACCACGGCAACAGCTTTTGAAGACAAAATCGGTGCCACTCAAAGGCCAAACGCCGGTTCGAGAAACGACACGGTTGGCTCGGACATACTAAAACAGGTGAATACGGATTTTGTTTTTTTGGAAATCGACACACAAAAATGTATAACTTAGAGTAATTTCGAAATGGATTCTGGATTCTGTTGAATCCTCTCGATGCTATTAAAAATAATGCGCTATCGTTTTGTCATTATTCGATTCATATATATATATATATATATATTTTTTATATACGGAAAACCATCAACAAGAACCTGTACACCGTTAACGTGTCGTCGCACTGTGCGCTTCCTTTGCCATACGCTGCAACTGTTAACAGTATAAAGCAGCGTCGATTGACAAACATAATTGACTGATCGCCGCATCACTGTTTCAATCGCATATATGTTTACATTATTTAGGGTCGTACGGAAATATATTATAAAAAAAAAAGTTCTTTATAATATTTTGTTGAAATCGCTTGCCTCCCAATACCACAGATTAGATTTTATCTAATCTGGCTAATACTACTTAACAATCGAAGCTGTGGTCATAATAATTTCCACTGCATTGGGTAACATGTCAAATGATATAATTCAAATATTGAAAACAAAACGATTAGCTTACAAAGTTAACTAGATTGTAATGGGTATAACATATAGACTCCAAATTATAAAATATATTCCACAGCCGGGTATTTATAGGTTTTACATTGTTTCAAAATCGCAAGTATTGTAAATTCCACTTGTATGATTAAGTACTATAGATGCATTTAAAATGTGCCCTCGATAGATTTCACAATGATTTAATTTGAAAATTTGTATTTTATCAAGTCAATAATACGTCAACATGTTACAGTAGTTATATTGAACTATATTTGTAAATATAAATAACTAGTTAATTTTATTTATTAAATTATCTTGTTATACATTTTTAATTAATTCAATCAAATTAAGATTCAATTGGTTCGATATTATTTTAATCATTGACTAAGCTATACATTTTAATTTAACAAACTATTGATTATATTTCAACATAATTTCACATGAAAGAACAATGGCAATGATATTTTTAAGATGTTTATTAGTTAAGTTTTGATTCAAAGTCTCTTTAAAAAAAAACAAATACAGATAAAAAAATTGGCTTACTGAAAAAATATACTTTATGACCAAAAACGGGTTTTTGGGAAAAAATCACTTTTACTCTTTTTGGTTCTCAAAACTTCAGTTTAACTACACGACAAAATTGCATTAAATTTACTTAGCCGAGTAAATACAAAGTCATTAACAATTTATATAAATTGGTCAATTTCTAATGAAAATCCGGTTTCACCGACTACACTAAAATTACAGACTAAACTATAAAACTATTAAATTAAACTGTTAAGAGTTGGTAATTGCCCATAACATATAGCTGTGTGTGTTAAATGAAAAAAAAATCGTATAATTTACAAACCAATACACTATAAATTATATATAGTATGAAATTAAGCAATTAAATTAACTTGAGATAAATAATGTATTGTGATATATTATTGCAAAATAAAACTTTTCACATAATTGTACATTCACTAAACATCAAGATATAGAATATGTAAACGTAGATCAAATCAATTCTCACCTTTCCGGCTTTGACTAAACGTCATAACTCTTTAAGTTACGTTTGACAATGAAACTTGACAAATTGTTAATTTAATATATTCTTTGAGTAATTTAATCTAGGGTTTCATTATGCTAATTTAATATTCTACCTCGTCACGTTTACACTTTCACCTGTAGTAAATTATGTTTGGGTTTTAAAATACCAATTGGCAATTATGTATTTAAGCGAAACTGACATAAAGAGAAAAAAAGGTCTTCGCAGCTCGATTTGCATAAAATATCAACATTGCATGCATTTCTTCTAAAACAAAATTTTGCAATGTAACTAAAACGTTTTTTTTTTTTTTTTGAGAGAGAGATATGTTTAACAGTCTATTTAAATGTAATTTCTAATCACGGATCGCTATATTAAGATATAAGGCACGATATGGACCACTGCATTTTGAAAATTGCATTTAATTCCCAAGGAACGGCCATGTTAGCCATTAAAATCAGTGTTCAAATCTGACAACGTTTTATAGCGAACACATGCTGACTATGTCATGGTAATAGTTGTTGCATTAATTACAGGTTTTATCAAAAAAATGTTTGCACCATTATACGATGACCTGTCTAAAGCTGGATCTGGTCAGATTGATCGACCGGCTGGGAACGGCACGAGCCTATCAGCTGGTGCCTGGCATTTCTATTGTACGTTCGACCGACGCTAATCAAACCAATGGTCATCAGACCCATCATCACCACCATCATCAACTTATTCCACCAGAAGTGATTAGGTCGTTGGTACGCGGCAACGAGTCCAACGAAGAACTCGACGGGTTTCTCATGGAAAAGGCGGACGGCTACCTAAATACATTGTCCATAAGCGTCAAGCTGGTTGACTCTTCGATAATGGATAACATTCGAAAACTAAGCAGTCAAGTGCTCGCGAACATACTACCAAGCAACTTATTACAAACAGGTAGTTATTTTATTTCGTGAAAATATTACTATAATCACTTCGAATTCACATTGGTTGACCTTTCAATAATTTTTTTTTTGAACTGTTGTTTTAACGTTGATTCTGAAGATTAATTTAAAAAATATATTTTTTTTAAGGACGAGGCAAAAAGCATGGTATGCACGCCGCTCTATGGTCAGCTGGCACCTTGGCCGCTATCGGTTTCGCCGCTCTTGCAGCCATGTCGGGCAAAGCGCTGATGACCGCAATGCTGGCGTTAGTGTTGGCCGCCATTTGCGCCCTTAGGGGCCATGGTGGAGGCGGAGGAGGCGGCGGTAGCGGTAAGACGTCGCACTATGAGATCATCACCAAACCGGCCATCTACGATCACGATCACCTGGTGCACGGTGCCAGCTACTCATCTGCACCATACAGTTATGCCAGACACCTCAACATGGACGACGGCGACGGTGGACGATCAGTCGGAGCGCCTCAACATATCAGCGTTGTCCACGCCGACTCGGCTGGGCCCATTCAACCGCTTCAGGACACCGAAGACTCACCACAACAGCCTTACCCGTTGTCACCCATCACTTACATACCGACAAACAACACTTAATCGGCCACTGGTGCCTCTACACGAACTTTATTAATTTATTTTTATTTATTTATTTATTACAAATTATACCTACATGTATATATATATTATATTATTCGCATTGTAAAGTGACGATTAAGTAGAAAAGATACACATGTAAACGTATTAAATAGAAAAATATATACAATTCATATATTATATTTTTGTTGCTGACTAAAATTGTCAGACATGGGTTTGTATAGTTACCTACCCATGAGTCTTGCCCATCAACACATCAAACTAAACACGCAACTGTTTTGTTAAATTATAGCGTTAAAATTCACTTATGTTAGCAAATGAAATAATGAAATACTAACTTTCAAAATAAAAAGAATCGCATTAGAATAATCGAAATAGTTTTTCAAAAAATATTCGTTTAATATTGCCTACATTTTGTCCCTTACTACATTTCTGGTCAATGTGCTCTTAACTAATACTATAGTTTTTTATTTCACAATTAAAATTTTCCTTTTCAAACCCAAGATTTACACTCTATAAATTTAAAAACTTTTAAAAATAATTAAATTTAAACACAAATGAACTATCGAAAGAAGTTAACGCAATTAAGTTATATAAATTTGCAAATGACAATCACTATTCAATACATTTAATTTTTTTCTAACATAAGATGAAATATTTTTACTTGGCTTGCTTTTTAACTTAAAAATGGTCTTGCAGAGATTCAACAACAACAACTTTTTCTCATCTGAACACAAATATTCAGAAAGAACTTGTCTTTATCCTTCCAGGTAGATCTAGCTGATGGCGCGTTGTTACTTGTTATTTTAGAAATTAAAAACTAACAGCCGTTATATTTAATACATCCCAGATAAATTGCGCATTATCTACTATACAATAATATTTTGTATAAATGTTTGTTGGTTAACAACGCTTAAAAGGGATGTCTTAATGGTTTCAAAATTCACATGGGCCTTGGCCGATGAATATAGCTTGTAATTAATATATACCTAACTATAGAGCTAGAGTGATTAACGGCTTAGAAAATACTTATACTTTAACAGGGTGGAACGTTCGTTGGCCCTAGATCCTTGAGCAATACGAACTATAGTTTTCAGAACAATGCAGTTAATATTTAACTTAAAATGTTATAGCACCTGCGTCAAAATTAGTTTTTTTTTGTCTATATAAAAAAATAAATAGTTCCTCTAATATAATACTCGTACTACGAATATCGTTTAGATGCAGAACACATATCTTACTCGAGAGAAATATTTCTTTATTAATATTTTTTGTTATTGTTGTTTATTACACCACATTCATATTTACAACGAAAATTGACGCCAACTGTATACTTGTTAATATAGGTTCTATTATAGCTATATTATCAAAAATAATAAGAAAAACTGATTTTTGTGGCGTTTCATGTGCTTGAAACCAATCCATTATTTAGTTTTTAAGTATATTTGTATTACATATTTTTTAGAGAATAGTAATTACTGTGTAAAATGTTAACAAGTTTTGCACTTACAACAATGAAGTATAAAGATAAAAATGAATTAAAACTTAATAAACGATGTTGACTACGTAGTAACAGTTAATGATTTCGTTTATAAAAATATTTCAATAAATCGTATTTATATAACTGGAATATATTATTTTGCTTAAAGCAAACTCACCCATCGTTAATTTTGTAAACATTATTATAAATCACATAAAATGCATAATGTAATTAGCCGTTATAACTTCGATACATACTAAGATTACTCGTTTTAAAAGTATTATCTTGTAATTTGTTTACTAATAAAAAAAAACCAACCACTCTTACCTAATTAAGTTCATTTTACAGAATATGATTCCAAATAGGTAGGTACTAATTTGCATTTGTTGGCATAAAATTAAGTTCATCAACTCGTTCATACAAAATATGATAAATTACAAAAAAATATTCTACGTGTAAACTTGTTTACAGTTGAGTAGTTCTACGGTCCAAGGGAAAACTTTTCAGTTATCACGAACATAACAAATACTTATAAAATATCGCATAATATATTACAAGACATGTTTAAATGATTCATCTCACAATATATTAATATTACCACACAGTCGAGGTATCAAACAAGGCGTATAATATTATGAGATTGGACAGTTTTTACACATACATACATCAAAATAATTACTATAGTTAAAATAAATTCATAAAATTAAAAAAATATATTATTGTGTACATTTTTTACAATCAATTATTATGCTTAAGAAGTTATAATCAATAAATCAATATTATAAAAATTGTCAGTGGACGTTAACATATTATGTGTACAAAAATTGATACATATATATTTATATATTATTACTATGACGAGGAACTTTGTACACGATCATTGTCCTTATGACAAGGGTTTACAAGTCATTGCATTAACCTAAAACGTATGATATTATAGTTTATTTACAAAAAGTTTACTGTTCTTGTAACGAGAAGACATTTTCAGCTATTATCTCTTTAAAAAAAAAAAAAAAACCACAACCCTATTAATTGATATTGTTTTACGGTAACTGATTATATAATATCTAAGGTATAGTTTACGGGTGTGCTAAGTGGATTTTTTGACAAAGAAACACCGAGTTAGTACAAACATTGGAAGACAAATATTCTAGATTTTACTACTAGAGGACATGTCAATTCATTAAAACATATAGAATGGTAAAATCACATTATAAATTATTACCAATCAACGTTATTCGTGTAAAATTATTAAAAAAAAAAAAAACACTTATCACATCTGTACGCTGTGTCATCAAAATAGTATGAGGACCCGAGAAGTCACATTTGCTCGTTGATTTAAATAACTTAATAAAATCGTGTTTAAATGTTTAGTTCAGTTGTTCTTAACTTCTAGGGTTCCCATATTATATTATAGCAAACAAATGTTGAAGAGGGCACAAAAAAAATATACTTTTAAGTTTTAAGGGGATGTGTATAGGCAATTTTTACATACAAATTAAATTTAAGCATTTTGAATATTTTTCTAAAAAAAAATCCACCTTTGGAATAAATCATTTTAGTTAAAGTACAGCCATCAGACATTTCAATAGTTTTGAAATATTTAAATACTATAACACGATATATACGTTTTTGCTTTTTAGACATAAGTGATAAATGTACTCCAAATAAAATGTTTTTTTCCAAAAATACTTACATACCGAAAATATGCTATGTGTGGTGTGACATTACATGTATACATTTATGATTTAAGAGAAACAAAGAAACTGTTGATACTGTCTTTTGATTCAAGATCACGGCATTATTTTAATTTACATAAGAAAATATAAAAATGTTATCGTTTTCGTTATTTCAACAATTAGTTTGTTTCTCCCGAAAACAATTAAGAGTATGAACAGTCTTTTTAAACAAATAGCTATTTAGTCATTAAACAGAGGATAAAACGGGTGGTCAAATCCCGTTTAACTTAATACATTAGTAATTAATCGAATACAATAATTCATTAATCCAACTGCACGTCGAACGTAAACGCGTAAGTTTGATGGTTAATGTTATTGTTGTCGATTATACGCGCTATAAGCCTTGTCGTTGGCCTCGTCCCTAAACGACACAGATCCCGACGGCCGGAAACCGTTGGGTTCCTTGGGTTCTTGAGCGCGGGCAGGCCTGCTGTACGGGTGGCCGTACGGCGGCGAGTCTAAGGCTTCCTGTAGGTACTCCGGCTGCTCTGGCACGTGTTCGCGGTACGGCGTGTAGATCGGACCCGGAGGTGGCGGCGGTGGGCCCCCGCTGCTTGGCCTTTTGTAAAAGCTACTATGCCCGAACGTGCCGTAGTTATGCTGCAGATCCGGTTTGCACAGTTTAAAGAACCCGATCATGCCGGGTACGACAATGGCCAAGAATCCCAAGAACTTTTTGAACGACGCCAACCCGAGGATGAGCGGCAAAAACAACAGCAACTTCAACTTGAACAGCTTCAATACGATCAACAGTGGCACCAAGAGCTTTTTGACTTTTTTCTTGGCTGCGTAACAAAAAAAAATGTACATAAATAACTGCTTAACAGAAAATGAGGAGTAATTTCTAAGTTGTATAGTCCTTTTTAATATGTATCTTATGAGCTGAGATCAGAGTTAAACTAAAATAAATTACACAAGGAATAAAAATTTAATTTAACCGAACAACACATTAACTGTATTGAACAAAAAAAATAATATTATGTTGAAATACAAAATAACAGAAAATTATTTCGATTAAACTTGGAAAACGGTTTCACCGCGCAGTTTGGTAATGATCTCAATCCTTGCTCATAAGTCATACCTACACGGAGTGGTAATTATTTTACCATTTATCGCAATGCAAAATTATACATATAGCTTTAACTCGAAACCGAAGAAGAAAATTAGTTTTTGGTGTCTTCCAGCGTTTCAAATAATTCAAAACCATCTCGTCGACGGCAATTTGTCAATGCGGTCAATGTATAGGTATTACATCTTTTATTATGATTATAAAAACATTAACGTAATAGCGTCCGGAAATTAAATTTAATCGTTTTATTTCCGCTTACATTCGTTACGTTACGACAAAAACGCCATAAACACAAATGACTTCCACTGCTCCTTAAGACCTAACCATTATATAAAATAGTATATTAATATTATTATTAATGTTATAATAATAATAATGATGATAATTTAACTCGGAAATCATTATTGGCGTTATGCGCTCCACGGAAGTAAACCCTTGCAAGCCTAACCGTTAGCAATGCTTGTAATATTATAATATATTATTATCGAGTATTGACTTCGGTTTGTTTGGGGTATTTGTAGCGAACTACAATTAGAAAGTCAGCTGTCATCAACTGTTAAGTACTCGGTAAACCGCATGCAATTCAAATGAATTCTCGGACTAAGCGAGTCGTCCAACAAACGCGACAGGAATAATAATTATACAATAACAAATTATAAGCACCTAGCTTTAGGTTAAGCATGACGTGCAATATTAATTATTAGTATGTATCATTATTAGTATCGTCATTCAGCTGGCAACCGTTTATGGGAATGCAAACACAGCAGGTTTTTGTAAATGCCGATGAGCACAACCTGCGTGAATTTTATACCACAACAGACTTTAAAAAAGTGAAAGACCTATACTACACTTTTACGCGTTTTTATGAAAATAATTCGTTAACCAGTTTTGCGACCGGCCAACAATAACGGATTAGAGAAATCACATGTCGATCGAGCTTACGGACATGTGCGCACGCTGGGAGGGAAAAAACAATCAAACAAATACATGTGCTTCATAGAAAATTCTGGATGATTGGCCCAGAGAAAGTAGTCTGGCCGGAGACACTGCAATATAGCCGAATAATAAAATTAATATAATCGTTATTTATAAACTTTTCGCAAACATTGGCGTCGACACATTTCTCGGCAATGGAACGAATTTTAAATATCACTTATCAGACCCTCCTTGCTTCCCCTCAATTACAAATATCGAATTTGACTGGGAAACTACTTGATCGGATACCGTTTGGCTTCTAAATGAATAAGAATGATTCAACTGGAATAGCCTCTGTTTCCCGCCAGGTAAACCAAACGAAAATTTAACTTAGTTCCATCTACTATCTAGTTGCTGTCTACTGTTGTAACATGTTATACAAAAAAAATACCATATTAACCATAACGCGATGAAAATAAGTGACTTCATCTCAAACCGATTTAACCGATTCTTTTCTCAAAGTACATACCTACATCAACCAGGTCGAATAACCACAGAGTTATGATTTATCGAATCGGTCCCGTTACAGTAAACAATATGTTCGATTTGGTTACTATATCGGCGTGAGTCACTGGCCCAATTTTTTTTTTTTTATTAAATATACCGACCGACCAGACCCGGTGATCCCACAAAACATAATATAATAAGGTATTATTATCAGAACGCTATAGAATAGTATTAGACACGGTTAAATATGTAAAACAGTGTATTGCGTGTTGAATATTATTTTATACGGTGTTGCACCATTAGCGATGCTTTAGGCTAGGTGGAAACCCGTGTAATGTTTTACTGGAACTCACTTATGACGCTGGCCTTTTTATCTTCGAGGGCGTCCAGTTCGGACGATATCTCGTCGATGAACCTGGGCGAGTATCGGCCGCCTTCGGTGAGCTCGTCGGGCACGTGCACTTCGACGGCGGTCGATCTGAGGAACTTTTCGACCTTTCGCATGGCGAACTTGACCAGCCTGTCCCATTCGCTGTCTTCGGCCCGCTGCTCGGTGGAGAATTCGAATCCTCTGGACGACCGGTATTCGTTGTCCTCGGGCGGCATGCGGATTACGCGAACGTTTTCGTTGAGACGGTACGAGTCCTTGACAAAGAACTCGTCGAGCCCGGACAGCGACCTGGCCTTGAAACATTCGGTCATGTCGCCCTGCAGACACGCGCCATTGGCCGACGAAAGGTAAGGATCGGCGTCTTCATCGGCGAAACTGCCCAGCCAGTTGAATAGATTCTTGCCGTTTCTGTTTCCGCCCGGACCTGTTCCGGCGTCAGTGCCGTTGACAGTGCCTTCGTTGTCCGGAAACGACATGGACTGGCCGCGGGCCATTGTCGCCAGGCATACGCAGGTCGCGCATCCGAACACAAGAATGTAGTTCATAGCGCGGATAGACCGACAAGTAAACAGAATAGTATGGACCCGGTCACGTAGACGGGCCACTTCAGTTGCGGTCGACTTGAACCGTTAGTAATGCGCGTGCGTCAGCCGAACCTCGTCCGTTGACCGCTCGGATGTCACTAACCGTCTGTGGGTCGGCCGTCGGTCGTTTTATAAACCGCACCGGATCAAACGCAGCGTTATTGCCGTGTACACGTAACCGCCGCCGCCGCCACCACAGTCTGTTGGGTAACCGCCAACAGCAGCATCAACACCCTTTTTCCATAGTGGCGTAACGTTAGGGTGCCATGACGGGGACAGGCCCATGGCACTACGACCACTTAGAGCCCATCGCTTAATATACAAATTTTAAGTTGTCAAGTGCTTACTATAAAACAACCTTGATACTTGTCATATAACTGTTATAACTGTTTACAATAATGTTAAGTATTTAGTTTAATATTTCATATTGAAAAAATGTATTTTTTGCTTTTTTATAACAATAAAAGCTGTTTCCCTAGAGCATATTTAACAAAACGGTATGACATTCCTTCTAAAATGTTACCATATTTCGGTTTTTCGGAGTTCTTAGTCTAAACTTGTAATAGAACTTGTAAAACGCTCTCTGAGTAGACATATGCTTATGCTTTTTAACCAGGAGTATAAATCCTCTTAAGATTTGACTAGTAAGATACAAAGCTAATAAAGCCTATTTGAAAACACCAAAAGAAAATGCTGGTATAATTTAAATAAAAAATGGGATTACTAGTTGATGAACCTAAAACGGAATTTGATTGGACTAACGGTTATACTGCTCGAAATTGGAATAATTTTTGACAATTCAAAATTATTTTAAAAACGTACTGATGATTAGCTTACTGCAACGTTATCTGTCATATATCGAATCATAGCTAAAATGGGGAGAATATAAAAACTTTTCAACTGTAGTTTCAAAAAATCATATTATGCACTAAGCTACATACGTAGTTGACCTATACATTAAAATCCTGTTATTGTTTAGTAGTTTAAGAATGTAACAAAAACCTATGCTAAATCATTGTTACATAACTCTTTTAATATTTTTTCTGAAATTTCAATATTTATCAGATTTTTTGTTTTCATACTAACATACGTAAAAAATCTCGTATCGTGGTCTAAAAGTTAAGCTCGGCTAATAACACAATAACAGTCAGAGATTTTACAATTATTGAGCTATAGAGCCGACATATTTAACACATGTCGAATTTAGTCAGCTAAATAAACTGAACAAATTTAAATATCTAAGATCCATCTAAATTAATAATAATATACCAATAGGTAAAAACTACTCCAAGGTTTCTTTATTTAACCTTACTTAAATTTGAATAAAATAAAAATTATAATAACGTAAAACATAGTTTCTTATTTTTGTCCTCAATCCTATTGTGCCCGACACACTGTGCATCGGTTTATTTTGCCACGGGCATCTTAAAATCCATAGTTACGACACTGCCTTTTACTGCAATCTCGGTAAAACCTGAGCATTATCAACACTCTATAGTAAATTAAAACTTATTATGCTATTAGAACTCGGTGAAAAGTGAAACACGGCACTGCACGACGAACAAGAGCACCGGTCGGACGTGTTTTTTTTTTTTAATTTTCAATTTTTATTGTACTACTTGAACGTTGTTGACGGAAGAACGTGGAAACGCCCACGCGCCCGACTACAGCACCGTAGCGTGAAAGCGAACACCCTCTGCCCCCTGCATCTCCGGTCCGGATCATCGCCGTTGCATAATGTCATTATAATATGTTATGTTATGTTATGTGTTTTTTGTTTTTTCTTACCGGTGAGTCACTTTTTGGAGATCCCGGAGTCGGACGTGATGGCATATAACACAGTCCACATCTTTGTGTGCAAGAAAAAAATATAAAAAACACTGTCGGTTTCATAACAATAAATCCGAATGACTCACTGCGGTACTCGGGCTTTTACTGTAGATCCGGGTCTAGAATATCTTGTAAATCATATTTTAGAGTCGACCCTCTAACTATATAGGCCCACATTGCACAACCGAGTCTACAAATGTCATAAACGAATGATTGTGAAAACCAGTGTTGTCACCGAATCGTTTGGTCATCGTGATTTCGGTTGTATAAAAACGCATACGACTCGGTCTGTTTCAAATCGCAAAAGTATACTTAGAAAAAAAAATGGCAAGCCCAAACTTTAAGTTTATAAAGTTGATGATTTTCGGCAAATCGCTCAACTTTGAGATTCATTTAAGCTAACAAAAAACCAAATGATTTGTATATTAATTATTAGCACGTTTATTAGTATGTTGCATATTTGCGAGAAAATCTAAATATAAAGACGTTTAATTATATATATTTATGCAAAAACTTTGTTAATTTCTATGCGTGCCTGCGTAATTGCATTTGTAGTTCGCATAAATTCTGCAATAATCACATTTTATCTAATTAGTCAACCGCAATTTAACGTGTCATCGCAAGTGTTATTATTTACAAAATACTGATTTCTTCATAAGTTCTTTACGAATATTGTCAACTATAATTGACTCATTCTACATAAACCCTGCTAAGAATGAATTGAATCACTTCAGAAACAATCACTAAAATGGTAAATCTTAACTCAAAGTAGGTCGAGGAACTCATATACTTGTACTGTTATTACTTATTACTATTATCTTATTTCTCAGTAAACGTCACACTTCCATAATTTTAATATATTAGCTAAATTAATGTTTAAAACATTTTATTTGTAGATTTAATGGACTTAATAAAAACGTACTGAATCATTGAGTTTTACAAAAAGTTGCCCATATGAAACTTTTTCGTAAATACTAGATAAATATTGATAGGTTATATTGACTCCATTAATGACGCCATATTTGTTTAAGAGATACAAGAATTACATAAGAATTTAAAAAAAACAATATTTTCCATTCCTAGATGATGACAAATTTGAAAAGAAAGCCTTTAAAACGCTATTAATGCTATACTATAAGCTGTTCGTAACGACTTTTATTTATGTATGATGAAACTAGAATTTATAAAAACAACGTTAAAGCTACATTTTTTAGAAGTAATAAAATTTAAATTAATAAGGAAACAGTCTGACTTTGGGGCAAAAAACGGGAATGAACCATTTACGATTTCCATTAAAACATATATCGATTGGTCTAATAGTGCGATTAGTAAACTAAAACAAATTTAAACACCTCGACATATTTTTTCAGAATAGACTTGAGCAATTGTTTAGTTAAAGACAAGCCGGCGTTTTGAATTCAGCTCACCCGCGTTAGAAGTATTGCATACATAAAACTCCTTAAAAGCGACGATTTCGATTTCCTTCCTAAGTTAAGGTTTTCCGTTTTGGAAATAAACATCAAAAATCGTTGTTTGTTTTAGTTTTAGTATGAATAATAACAAAATTAAATTTCAATAATATTATATTAAAGAACGAAAACCAAAAAAGTTGTTCAATTTATCAATTATGTTTTTGATTTGTCGCCGACAACTTTAGAGGGGATAATGTAACTGTAAACAGCCATCAAGGTGCAGTTAAAGATGTGAATCTAAAATAGGCTATTGCCAATGAAAGTACTCTCTAACTGGAGACGTTGTTTTTCTCTGCTAAACTTGTAGAACGCATGTCAGAAAATACTCAGTCTCCACATCTAATTACGTGTCTATAAAATAAATTCGTATGTTGTAAGAATACGACACATTTTTTGTACTAAAATGTATGCATATGTTATTAGACAGTACTAATATTATATAAAACCAAGTATGTATGCAAATTATAAATTATTCACCTAATATAAAATGTAACTTAATGTAACAAAGAAATGTACAGTTACAAAATGTAACAAAAACATGGTCAACATGGTTGATTGCCATAAAAATGAATTAGAACTCTTATTATATTAAAATGAGTTTACCACTATTGAATAAAAAGAATCTTGTACTATCCCAATCGAGGAGTTATTTTTTCAATTTCATTATTTTTTCCTGGTTTTTGGTGAAAGGACATTTTGAGAGGACGCTACCCACTCGTAACAAAATGGTTTTGCGGGAGACAAGAATGTGAGGGCGGTATTTACAGTAACTGTATACAATTTGTACAATATATAGAGAAGAACTTTATCTATGGGGTAGCGTTTCTAGCTTTAATTCAAAAGCACAATCAAAATTATTCATTCATGAAGTATCATTTTTTCCTCTTTTTTTAAGAAACTATTGAGTAAACACTAATATTTATACCTACCCCAAAAATAAAGTTACTCTCTACACGTTGTAAAAATTTGGCAAATCTACTGTTAATACTGGCCTCACATACTTGTCCCGCGCAAACCAGTTTTGGTGGAAAAAAAATTGTAATTTATTCTAAAGAAATGACTGAGATAGTCTGACATAAAAAGTAACAATCAAAGAAGTATCCCCATTGCTGTATAGCTTCATAATGTATCCCAACAAATCTTTAAGGACAACTCTTGCGATAAGTACAAATCAAATACATAAAAAAAAACGAATGAAAAATTATTAGTTTACCCTATAGGCCCTAGCCACTATAGGTACAATATTTGATATAAATAAATTCAAATTTTAACTACAACAAGTGACAATTTATTTGTTAAATAAATAACATAAATTATCTTTTTGGTTTTACAATTCAGTGTATGGTTATTGTTTTCAAATATCACAAGACTATATTTACGGGTTTAAAACTAATATTGATATATTATATAATAAAATAATCTAATTTATAAGAAAACATAATGGCGTAAACAAATTATTGTCGTTACAATTTATATATGTATATAATTAAATAAACGATGCCATCATAAAATATATTAAATGTATTTTATATTGTTATTGTTATTAGCAATAGGATTTACTGTAAATCACTTTTAAACCATTCAATACATAAGTAAATAATAATTTTAAAATATGTTTTTGTTTAAGAAAAAATAATAATTTAAATAATAAAAATAAAATAATAGTTTTATTAAGACGTCAGGGAGAAAACAACTTTTTTAATAACAATTTATCAAATCACAAAATATCATATAATAAATAAATTGAAATTAAACCAATTTTTTTAATAGATTATCTATTTACATTAACAAATAATTAATAGAGAATAAATTAATAAATATATATTTATATAAATACAGTGATGATATAGTGTTTACAAAGCTTTAAACCACATATTATGTATGTTCGTGCTTAGCACGGTACGAACATAATACTTGTCGAACTACCTTAAGTTAAAGTATAGAATAAATAATATATAAATAATATGGACACATTAGTATTCGGTCAACAAGTTGCCATCCGAACATGTTTTGCAGATTTACATCAAATAAGATTTTCAATTGGATACAATATAGGGGCAATACATAATAATTGCGTATACATATGATCTCAATAATATTAATAATATTACACGTTTTTTTTAAACCCCATTACGTTAATATTACTTGGTATATTTTGCTTCGATTATAGTTAACTAACGTTGGGATAATCGTTTTATCTACAACACAGTTTAGGTAGCATAAATTACTTTGAGTTCGCATTTTTTTTTTTGTCACATTGAAATATATTGTGTATTTTATATTAAATGATGTAATTTACGGATGGCAAAGGATCACATCCCCACAGAGCAGAAACCGCCATAAATCCTGTTATGTTCCCAAAACAGACTCAAATTATATAGAAACGCTTATCCTAACCGAGCTTTATTCAGGCGACTACAACATCTAAGTACTACTACGGCTAAAGTATACACGACGACTGTACAAACGATAATAATAATTGTAAACATAATTAAATATACTTAATATTAAAAACGTTCAATTTGATCCGATCAAGCGCGCGCAGCGCCTACCAACGGTATAGGTACCGAAAATGGCTTGTAAAAATACAATTTAATATTCCTAAAAACAATATTATTAATATTATAATTATGTTAACATAACATACACGTGATAGTACTTATTATGCTTATAACATACTTATACATATTATTATACATTATATATAAATATATTATTATTGTACTATAATCTAACTAGTAACTACACGCTAGATTGAGCTTGACGAGGTATCGCTTACGTTATGTACTGTCTTTAACTGCGAGCTTTAATCACGGTTCTCGCACTCCTAGATTTCACCTGAAACAAAAAAATGTTCAATATCTGTTGAGGATTTACAAAAACATTTAAAGCACATTAACAATGTAATTCAAATCAATAGTATTGTAGAATTTCCCTCTCCACAATACAACTATACTTCAGTATAATTATATTTCATTATTTTTCCTAGAAGGTAAACAAATAGGGTTGGCTAGCCAAGCCATTCTCTACATTACTTTACCGCCCTTCATTCATTCTACACATCTCTAATATATACTTATTTATTTATTATTTCCACCAACTTCTTTTTTGGTGTATCTCTATTTCCGTTAACGCTCTACTTAAGCAAAACATTTTATTATTACTTATAAATAAAGAACAAAAATAATAAAATAGGTATTTAAAAATTCAAATTATACACAATATTGCTCTTAAAATATTTCCTTGATCGCATGTTTATTAATTATTATTGTTACTACAATAATAAATTCATAATTCTCGAATATCCGACCCCTTGCCTGGTATATGATTTAAATTTGTCAAATAAACTTAACATCTAATAGGAAGTAAGTAAAATAGCGGAATAATGCCATGTTTTGGATAATGCATTTGTTTTCAATATAATAATGTTGGTAGTATTTTATAAAACGTATGGTCTAGCCGTACCTCGTGCTCGAAACAGTGGGATGTTCAACACGGGCTGTCGACTGTTCTAACATCATCTGTTTGGCGTGTCTGGCTTGGACTAGCTTGTTGATTTCATTGTAGGTGGTCATCATTGGCACAGATTCATCCGGCGATCTTTGTGACGCACAATTCGAAAACACTATTTCGCAGTTTTGCCCGTCTTGTCCGTCTTTGGCCGCTTTCATGTACTTGAAGAACCTCAGTATCTCCGGGTTCTCCGAAGATGGTTTTCGGAGTTCATTTAATTCCCTGAAATATTTGAAACCTTCATAAATATTCAACAAAACGTTTTTAATAGTCGTTCTCTGTTAGTTTATACTGTACAAGCGTAATAAACATAAATCATATTATTTCTTATCATATATGAGATGTCATGACAATTACTGGAGCTAGCCGAAATACATGGTTCCTTTGCAGAATAATAGTGATAATGAGGTATTATCATAGTGGACGCCCAAATAACAACACAAATTAGATCATGTGCAGCATATTATAGCCAAATAAATAAAAAACCAACATCGATAGGTTCTTGTCTGGTTTTTAAATTAATGATATTAAAAGATGATCAATTTTTTATTTTTAAATGAGAAAGTCTTCCCGAACTTTGAGTGTTGAATATAGATGTGTTATAATTTAGTAGTAAATACAACGTATTATTTTTTATACTTGTTTAATTATTTATTTGATTTTTCCATAAATTAAAACAAGCCATTTCTATTGAAATTCTCTAATAAATGGTAGCAACACGATTGGTTATATTTTTCAACAAATTAATTGTAGAAATTATAGAATTGTAAATGTAAATTTAATTAATTAATAATACACCTATATCATATTCTTAATTGGGTCTTAACCAGAATAATTAATTATATTGACGGTAATTTAATAATGATGAGAAAGTTTATACCAATTAGATTTTATTACTATAACTATCTGCTACTAACAATATATAGATGCAATAATATTTTATTAGACAAAAAATAGGTAGATGTTATTCATAGCTGTTCTATATTTTTCGACACAGTCCCTTTATATTAATTTAATTGACGATAATATGGACAGAGAACTAATAGAATAGGTCCAAAAATATGAAAATTATACCGGCTTCAAGTCATTTTTATTAGGCTATGCCCTTCTGAGGTTTTAAAATGTATCTATCCTTACTTGAAGTGTTAGGCTTAAAATAAAATTCATTTATCGGGTGGGGTAAAATAAAGTCTAAGTACATTTCTTTTTAGGTAAAGTCTCAAGTCTGACTGTAGAACCAAATTGTACTTCTGATAAGAGTGAATCAGGCTTATGGTATGAGGAGATCCCATTTGGATAAAACAAATATCTAGTTGGTCCAACTAAAATTATGGTGAATATAGGACCACAATAAATTTCTAGTTGGAATAACTAAAAATTTAGTTGGGCGAAATATTTATTTAGTTATTACAACTAGAAATTGATTGTGTCCCTATATTAACCATAATTTTAATTGGACTAACTAGGTATTTTTTTCCGTGTATAAATATTTTTTCAATCAATAACCTAGTTCTATTAATTATGATTTAAATTATATATATATATATATACACGCAAACGACTATTAGTCACTACAACGTGACTAATACGAAAGTAGTTTTTTTATCAAACTTTTACAATACTAAGAGAAAAATAATCTGAGTTTTTCAGCTAGAAAAACTTAATATTAATTTACTATAAAAAGTAGTTGGCACATTTTAAATGGCTTATAGATCAATATTTATTATAAATATTGCCTATCCTATGCCCCTTAATAGCCTGTTTCGCTTCCATTACAATTCAAAAGTAACCTAATCTACATTTACAGATTGAACTGTTGAGTTCTAAATTAACTCATATTATGTTATAACAACAACAATTAAATGTAACTTTTCTATGATAACATAAATAAAAAATCATAAATCATACATCTCAAACACAATGCGACAAATGATCATTTCCGTCAGAACAAGTGTAGGCACTTGTTATCAAACTTTCACATTTAGCCTCATTCAAATAGACATCAATAACGCGCGCATTTATATAGATCTATATTACATTATAATATTATATACTATTGTAATTGTAATTTAATTTGCTATAACACAATGGATTTCTAATAAACATTTTAAATATCTTTATACAGTCGAAAAAAACCAAGAATATTTTTTATCCATTTATTACTTTGTTTTTTCGAAACAAGATTTCTACAAAAAAAATATGGTACCACAGAAGTAGGTACAAAATTGAATAATAACTGTTTACCATTGTACGCTTAAATATGGTAAATAAAATTATAATTTAATTAAAACACTTTCTACATGTACCTACCTATAATTCATAAAAATATAAGTGGATACGATATTTTGTTTTATGAGTGTAATGCATTTAAACGTATAATTACAAAAGTATTGTATCTCCTCTTATCGTTTCAGTACTTACCGATAGTAATTGTCAATCAATTTATTTCGTTATGCGCAGTAATAATCCCCCAAGAAAGCTCAATAATAAATACAAAACTGAATATTATTATTTTATCGTTATTACAATAAGCAGTTTATTACGGGAGTTTATTATTTAACGCTGCTTAAGTATTATTTTGAATATTCAATTGCAATATTACACGATCACTTACAATAATTGGACCATCACAATAACGACTACATTGTGGAACGACCAGGTATTTGAAACAGCAAATTACATATTACTTAGTCAAACAAAGATTTTTTTTTTCTTTTTTCTCATTTCTATTATTAATATAATGTTCTACATGGGAATAATGCATTTTTAGTAGTCGTTTTAGTCGTCAAACCTTAAAGACAAAAGTTACTTTTAAGGTGTAAGTGTTACTCTAGCCAAATCGTAATACTTGCGTACATTTATGTGATGACATCTAAATTCTAAACCCCATATACTCGGAAACTTGGGACATTAGAAAATTAATAGGTTTGCTTCGAGTGCACGTCATTACCACTTTTCGGTACACGAATCCATTGAAACCGACTAAACGGTTAATTACGACATACATATTATTTTGTTCTCGCTATGATCACGATTCACGGACAGTGACGGATCACGTTTATAATAATAGTTTGTTGACAGTAAGGAAAAACAAAAACTTCCGTTTGCGTCTTCTGCCGGCCAATAACGCACCGGCGCGTTTACCTAATAGAACTAACAAGAAGCTCGTTTTCACGATGACCTACATCGGCAATGGCGCTGCCAAAACAATAGGCGATTATGGCACTTTAAAACAAACGATACATATGGAACAAGTGAAAGGAACAAACGCGCACGTTACACCGACAACAGTCGCCGACGTGTGCGTGCGCCCACGTTGCATGGTAGGTATAGTAATTTAATATCCAATTTCCGATTAGCGTTGTCCGCCGTCCAAAAATCTATTAAAAACAACGGCTGTGTCGGACAATTGCTTATGACAATACACTATCAGCCGGAACGACAGAGGGCATGTGTCACTGAAAGTTCCACGCAACAGTCCCGGTAGAAACCTTCGTCTTACTGTGCCTCAAGAATGCAAATTTTGTTTGAAATAACTATTTTTTTATTATTAAAAAATTGTATTAATGCCGACCTGCTCAACTGCGCCGACACCAGGTTGCTGTAGGGCGCGAACTTGGCCGGGAATTTGTACATCTGACACACGAGTCGTTCCCGGCAAGGTTCCGTCGTGTACGAGAGCTGCTTGAACACCGTGTCGATCCGGGACAAAAGAGGACTGTAGAACGGATCGTAGTTGGCCAACAGGTGCGAACTTGCCGGAATGTTGTGGAATACTTTAAAGTCTTCAGTCTTGTCCTTGGTGTAGTAGTTGCCCGACTGCAACTTGGTGCTCGACGCTGGCGCGCCGTACTTCACCGGATGCCTGGAAAAAACATATATTTTATTATATTATACAGCTCCGACGCTACAAGCCAGTAACCTGATTTATAATTATAAATATATTTTTTTTTTTTGAGAAAGGGCAGGTGTATAGACGTATATTATTTTAAACATATCTCAAATTTACCAAAAAAGTTAATGTATAATGACGATCTCGTTTACAGTGTAGGATGTAGGTAGTGGGTTTTATGTGATAATACACTGTCCCGCTAAATTGAGCATATATTCTTCATACTAAAGTCTCATATATTTAAAGCGAATACAAACACAGAAAAACTTATTCAAGATGAAATACAGCACGAGGACGGAAGAAAATTCCGTAGCAGGAAATTTGCATGCAGAGGTTTGGCGGGACCATACACAAATTCTTTCTTACAGTTTTCTGGTTTACGTTTATTCTTACACAGTTTTACTGTATTCCCCTTTTTTAATACAAGACAAATATTGTGTATTTGTCCATATAGTTGGAAAATACGTTTTGTTTCATTATTCAAACGGGTTTTTTTTGGATTTCAAGCCAAAAACTGTAAATCTAGTAAAGTCGAGCCGGATTCTTGAAATATTTTTTGCTCCGTTGTTTGCCTGTATTTATTTGCGGTTATAACAACCGGTCGCTATAGGCGCGGTAACTGATGGAGTCAAGTACCCGTTATTGGCAGCAAACATTTTGCAGTTAAAGCTGTTTTATACACTAAAACGATAGGTATAATAATCATAGCTCTGTTTTTTCAAATACTGTTTATCATTATTCATTCCCACTAAATAGGTTAAAAATAGTTAGAATTATATTGTAGTTGTTGGCAACAACAATGCGGGAAAAGAATTTTATATTTAAAGGTTTTTAGGACGTCGCACAGTGGTCCGAGAGTGAATTCTAGGCGCTCAAAAGTCCAATTATTAAATATGCAAAAATTATCAAAACATTTATGAATTATTAATTTTAATATGTTTCTTAGACATAATATCAAATTTCAAGTTCATATTTGAACCTGGACTTTTTTTATTGCTATTTAAAATTTAGTTATTACAGCGTTTGACGGTTACTTTGATTTCAGAAAATAATATTTTTTTTATTTTTTTACCCTTTAATATTTTTTTTTATTTAACTAGTACATATGTAAAAGAAAATACATTTTTTTGAAAACAATTTTTTTTCAAACTAGTTATGATAATTTTGAATGGAAAATATCAGATATTTGACATGTTTTTTTTATTTAAAAGAGTAGTACTAAAATTGCCCATTTTTACCAACATGTTATAAATATATAGGTGTTGCAGAGCAAGTATTCAAATTTTTTTAAATATTAATTTTTATTGCGACAAACAAAAATTAATTAGTACACAAGGCAAATTAGAAAGTAAGATTTTAAAGTTAAGCGGTTATTTTGATTTCAGAAAATAATATTTCGTTCACAATTTTTTAAATCTCTTATATTATTAAAATTTAAATTAATTAAATTAAATTTATTCTCTTTTTTCCAACCTTCTTTCTTTATATAGCTATAGACTATAGCTACAACAATTTTCTAATCTAAATTTGTTTCTTGCAATTTTCATTGCACAAAATGAGAACCTATAGAAAATCCAACGACGACACGTGCAGTATTTTATTTGAAAACGTATACTGTTACAGTAAAATATAATTGGACGTGGTTTAGAAGAATAGAGAAACGAAGATCCCGGTACAATTGTCGTGGTTATGCTTTTCATTAGAATCACTTCAATATGACTCATTTCAATTGAATTGGCACACTGTCGTTAGTCATAACGATACATCTATATATATTTATATATGTGTATGTGTGCATAGGTGTATATATTTTACACATGCGTATTTAATAAGTACTCGTTGCTCGGCAAACCCAATATGTATAGTTCTGTAAAGTACACTGCAAACACCTTCGGAGAATCGATTGGGGGCACTTTTGAATCTCGTGGTTAAAATGTATTATTTACATCCTTAGAGTGGTACATACTGTTGTCTACTCATGTCCTAAAATACGTCCGAAGAAATAAATGGGTCGACTTGTTCTAACACAAATATATGGGTATGGTACGATCGGAAAGTGAGTAATTAGTGACAATTACTACAGCGGAAGCCAAAACGCTACTTAACACTTTCACGGCCTCTGCAGGATAGATGCATACAATATGTTTTGCCTGTTCTTTTCCCAAACTAATGTGTAAACCGTAAAATAGAGTTTACGAGGGAAGACTGCCGCGTATCACCGAACTTTTTTTGCATTTTAACGAATTTGTATTTTTTATATGTATTATATTGTTTGACAGGATACAAAATCGTTTTCGCTATCTTCAACTTTATTATATTATGTTTCCGTCCTACTCTGAGCGGGGTCAGATAATAGTCAACCGCACACTCCACACACTCACTGACAACGCACCAATTATAAACCATATGTCTGACATACATTCCATCGCATATCTAATGAGTTTCTCTTTCGGAAACATCATTTGGCCGCTGGCCGAGTCGGACCTAAACCTGAAAACGCGACCTTGACAGTTCAACAATCGTCACGGAAGTACAATCAAGGAATATACACATATTCATGTTTACATATACATATTCTAACTTCTGAGGAGACCCTCCTTTTGCTTTCTCATGTTTTATTCTTATTGTCATTATAATTTGTATTTCTAGTTTATCAATCGGCTTAAGCGCACTCGTTCCCGACGTACCCATTTATAGAGGAGACTTTAACGAACGTCATCAACAACAATTGACATACAAACGACAATAATAAAAGTATTATGTTGATGAACGATAACGATCGTAGTACTAAAGTAAATTGTAAGAATAGAGAATGCATGATTCGATATTACTCCACATGACATTTAAATATTAAGATAATTGTTATGGTTTTTATCATAAAAGACACACACAAAACGGATTTTTGTAATGTTTAATGCTTAAATGAGTTCGTTACGTTTTACCTGTTAGGTCACTTTACTAGTATTCAGCCAACCGTCCGGTTATACAAATATTATAAAATTGCAGTTGCAATATCCTAAGCGATAATCAGTGGCGTATTTTGAACAATTTTTCAAAGAATGACCAAGGTTTGATCACAGGTGGGAAAATGTACTTCCGTAACTGATCGTCAATTAGATTTAACACCAAAAAAGCATCAAGATTGGCTAATTTTAAATTCTTATTATCCTGACGACCAGGATACAAACGTATCAGAATGTATTTCGTTCAACTATAGTTCTTCCCAGGGTATTTTTTTTTTTTACTGAGAGGTGTCAAAACTGAAGATTTTCTCTAAATACGTCTTTGGCTGTAACTGAAAGAAGTATGAAAACTTCAATGTCACGGGGGATGCGTGAAGCGAAGTCTGAGATAATAATGTTGTTATTTCGACTCGTCGGGTGGAAACTTTTGCGATTTCGCTCTCATTAGGATACCACGACGAAGAACACACCAACTAGGTTGTTGGCCGGAATATTTAGGTTAAAATAACTTCAGTTTCTTTCTTTTATTCCTTATATTTATTTCGTATTTTTTATATATATTTATTACGCCGACGACAACTCTGAGGAATTCATACGCCGCCGCCGTCGGTCACTTTGGTCACGTACGAAACCAAAAACTGGTTTTAGACACACACACACATACACTAGTTCATCCGTGATCGAGGACTCTCTCTCTCTTACACACACACACACACACCCCCTTTCTTTTGTGTTATTTTTTGGAGAGTGCAGTGGAGTGGTATAGAATAAGAAGAAGAAGTCACAATCGACCGCCTCGTTTCGCCGACGTTCGACGCAAATGTCAATGGCATTCTAACGAAAACAATAGTTTTATTGAAAATAATATTCGCATGTACCACTGCAACAACAGACGACGGTCGCGTGCCCGCAGTTCTCAGACGAACACGTGCCAAACACGAAAAATTGGTCGCGTGCATCCCGAAAATATATTATTATTATTATTATTATACATCGGTTTTGCTCCGCCCAAGTTTGATTTTTCCGGAAAATGAATTTTATTTTTCTGATAGAAAAATAAGAACAAATTTTAGAACCGCGTTCACTTTTGTCCAATCGAAGGATGTAAAATCGAAAACCGTGTCACGGACTATGATTTGGTCAATCGAAAAAAAAAAACAATGAGAGAAATAACTCTAAAAACAAATAACGTGACATTCGGTATCGCCTGCAAACACTGACCCGTCCTAACCTTATGACGCACTGAGACTCTCAGAGAAATTTTCCTGGATTTCCATGTAATAATAACATAAATATATTATGATGTATTTCATACACTGCGACCTAGTTTCAGTATCTTCGTCCATGCGTGAGTTGAAAATAATTTTTTTTCAATTCAACCTTTCCTTTAAGACGGATAGTGGCGATATAAACTTAGAATTCGACATTCGTTCAGCGCCTACCAGGTAGGTATAAAATGAAAATACTGCTTTAGGTGTCCCGACTGATGATCACAATAACGACAAAAGCGACATCAGCTGTGCAGTCGGTCATAACTACCATCAGTAATGTTATACGACTAGGTTAGGTCGTTGTAAAGATGCCGTGAGATTCCGTTAAAAATAAAAGTACCCTACCAGCTATAAAAATATTGTGCATAATAATTTATTGTGTGTACATTAAACTCCACAAATGGACACTGCTAATCACATATTGTTTACTGCCATTTGCGTTTCTTTCGGGCCAATTTTAATAGTTATTAGCTACCTACAAGTCGCGTTAATTGTCTCTGAAAAGCAGACCAATCGAGGTAGGTTTTTATTTTTCTCTTTGTCCAAAAGTAATTCGTGGACCAATTTGTAACATTCCGGAGGTGGTCGGAGGAACCGATTCGCGGGTTAATAATAAACGATGACAACTGTATTTTTTTTGTTATTTTGGCTTAGGGCTGATTTTAAAATTGAACTGTTGATTGCATCTTTTCAACATCAACGCGGGACCTCAATATTTATTTTTAAAAAGTAGTCTGTCGCAAATACGCGGAGTGTTATGAACCCGTGGACTAGATGAGTTTTACAGTGGAAACGTCCATCGTTTGGCGCTTAATGTAAATGCAGGAAATCGAGACCCGGAAGCCGGCCGAAAGCGGAATTATTGTGCAAGTGTTGAACGTTACCTATTGTTGCCGTACGCCGAATTGATGGTGTTCGATTGAACCGTATTGTCCGGCGGATAAGTCCATATACCCTGGTATCCTGTTTCCGAACCAGATGTATCTGCTGCGGCCGCGGCGTCGTATCCAGTCGCCAGGCCGTTGCTGTATTGTGAATCTTTAAATTCGAAGTCGTTTAGACCGTCCGACGCACCAACTCCACCGTGGCCAAAGTTGGACGAACTCGAAGCGAAATTTGTCACACCTGTCACACCGAAAAGAAAATTATTATTCAAAAATCTAGATGTCTGTCAGTTTTGATCCATATAAGCTCTACCATAAATTTTATAGCGTGTCCCTTTAAAGAAAACATATTTAGTCATATAATCTTGGAAATTATCCAAAATAGAGATATTTAGAGTAGCTCTTAGTTGATCTTAGCTGCTGATTTTTTTTTTAGATCACGTGCCTTTAAACCTACTTTCAACGAAATTATCTATAGTGTAATATTGCATTTTATATTAGTATAACAAAAACTTCAATTAAAAATATTCTTTTAAAACACAAGAATTGTCACTGGAGAAGTTTTCCTTATAATGCAATTGCCTGATTTACGCTTGAAGTAGACACATGTGGCTGGCAGTCACACTGAGCCACTATGCCTGTACACATACGGCAAGTAAAAGAAGACCTACCGGTCGGGGCACTTCTTTTATCTCCTTTTAACACCATCGGTGTAATTTATTAGCGTGGAGACATTTAAAAACAACTTTACACACAAATACTGCACGTAAAAGACTGTTTGGTACTTAAATAAATAGGTGACTATCGTAAAATTTCAAACCACCGTTAATTTATTTTAACATAGTAAAATATTGCTGTACAATTTTTGGCATTTAACATTAAACAAAAATAATTTCAGCTTCGATGTGTGTCATTATTAATAAAATATAAAACCGATAAATAAGATACATATTTTTTTAAATTAATAAACACAAAAATTATCAAACGTCATGCAGACAATATTTTAAGGTATGATAATGAGATCATGATGGATAAATATTAATGGCCCTCACTCACCTTTCGTCAATACTTTGCCGAAACTTCCCAATAACGTGGGTAAAAGTGCAGCCAACATTATCGACTTGAGGATTTGTGCGCCTATAATGAACGGCAATAATAGTTTTTTCAGTCCGAACGCCAAAAATCCCAGTCCAAAGCCGGTTAGGAACGAGTTTTTTCCAAAGTTTAACCTAGCTGTAATATTGTTATAAAATAATATATACAAATATTCAATAGTTAGTAATAGTAGTAAGAATAGTAAGTATTTTATATCGTAAATGCTTAATAACTAATGTAATAACTTCATTTGTTTCCGTGGATAAAAAGTTAAAAAACATAATCAAAGGTTTTTCTTAGTTTTTTTTTATGTGTGTCAATCATTTCAGCGTAACTCCACCTAATCGTCAGAATGACTAGACCACTTTTCTACCAAAGTTGATCTATTGTACTATCGAGTGAAAAGAAAATCACGTTAACTATAATAATAATATCTAACCATACTTTCCCATAGAATGTTTATTTATCCATTAGGTGTACCTGACGCCGCCAAACACATACTGTGAACATCTTCCTACCGCAGTTTAGTGTTAACCATTATTATTATAATTTTGATTCATAGCTCATACCACTTTGCTAACCCTCAATTAGTAAACAACAAAACTATTTTTTTTCAGCATGTTTAGTTTTGAATTGGTTTTAGATAAATTTTTTTAATATTATAGCCTAATAAATTCGAACAAACATTTCTATTGGCAATTGCAGCGAAAATTTTTTAAATCTTTATTTGTTTATAAAGTCCGTTGAAAATTACTTATTCTATTCTAAATTTGTCAAATGGCAAAAAATATAGAAAATAATTAAATACCCGCAAAATCATTTTTTAATAATTTTGATACAAATTTAATAGCGTTTTAGTTACAGCCTAAAAATTATTTTACAATCACAAATTAAAACTAAAATAATAGACGTCAAGTAAAAGCCGCAAATAAACTAATTTTTGGATATTACTAAGCAATTATAGTAATATTGTAGATTTATTTTTTATTTTTTATGGTAATTAATTTAAAAATGTTGAGTCTATTAATAGTTTTTTAATATTCATATTTAAAACAAATTGTATTAATATATTAGAGCCATTTCAATAAACACTGCAGCGAAAACAAACGCTTTAACACTGTTTACTCTCAAATCATTTATTTTATGTTACCGTTTCAAAATCCAAAAATATCGGTTCTCCGTCCTAATGATACTGTTTATGCTGTGTTTAACGGTAGATAGCGAAAAACCGAACCCAAAAAAACGTTTAAGCAAAGTAAATGTTTGGCGTTTACTGACAAAATTCGATTTTATTGGGCTTGTGAATACAAAAATAATGGGGTTATTTTTGCCAACTTTGGTTCTCGGGTTATGAAATGGATTAAAAAAAAATCCATGGAACACTCACGTAAGCTTATCATAGTCCGTCCGGAACTCTTAACCATTTCAGCAAAGTTGACGTCCAGAACGTGCGAACCGGCGAACTTGATTAGGCTGTCCATCAAATACTGTTCCGGATTCGATGTCCGGTCGGCGGAAGCCTTTTTCGTCCAGGCGGCGTCTACGCGCTTTATCCGGACGCCGGCGCCGAATTCGTAGTGGTCTGCCGAGTCTAGCACCCGGTCGACGACGTTCATCAGCCGTCCGACGTCGTTGTCCATGGACGCCGTGCTGTTGAGCTCGGTGGCCGCGCACACGACAACGGCGGTGACCACCAACGTGGCCACGCATGTTGTCCGCAGCATGACTTGGTGACAGGCGGAGCGGATGACTGATCGCAATGAGTGCGTATGTGGCTCTAGACGCGCGTGTCCGTTTTCGGTGTCACACGGCAGTCATAACGGCGGCACCCGCGATTCGACTGTAACGACAAAACGTCAATGTACATAAATATATGTAATTATGACGAAAAAAATGGATCAACGATCATAAAATACACAACATAGTCGTTAACCCAATGGATAGAGGTCGCATGACGATTCGTTAATGGACGGTACCTAACACTTAGTACGGTCGCCGGCACGTGGTAATGCCAGACTAATAATATCCGTACCTCGATTACCACTTTACCATAATTGTACCTATATTGTATGCGAAGGTTATTATTTGAGCGACCATTTGATAATATCTGTAACGGGGGAAATACTACAGTAATGGCAAATTTTTGTTTCCTAGCAAAACAGTTTATTGGTTTGGTTCGTTTTATGCATATATATTGCTTAGCAAAGGGCTGTGACACTATAACCCCCCCCCCCCTTCTTCTTTATATCGAGAGACAGTTTTACTAACTAATAACTAATACCTAACCTGACGATCAGAATTAAATTATTTCTTATTAAAATTTTACCCGATTAAATTCCTATTAGCTTTATCTATAATGGATTTGATATCCATTTTTACAAATAATAGATTATAATCGTAGAATATTTAGTTAATTTTAATAGAGGGATGAAACTACACGTCATACTACTACCCTTTTTCAGTAATATGTTAAATTCGAATGTCACATTGTATACATAAAGTGATTAGTGAGTAGTGGCGCCAAGCCAATAGCAGAGTAAACGATAATAAACTGCGATTATATTTCGAGCATGATGAAAAACAAAGAAAGGAAATGAAATAGTAAAACGGGCAAGAGATTAGTGTATAGAAAAATTTAGTGGAATGGAGAAGTGGACCGAACAATTATTAGTGGGTGAATATTATGAATAAAAACATGGTGGTGGGTAGAGTAGATAGAAAAATGTAGAGAGAGGATTGGCTGGCCAACCCAAATTATGTGGGATATATATGATAAGTAAGTAAAAGAACAAAATATAGAGTTTATGATAATAACATAAAGCTGTATGAACAATGTTGTTGGATTTCTTTGATAATTATTTAAAAAACAAAAATATTATTACTAAACGGTAACATACAGGAATACTAGATACGTTGTGTTTAATTAAAAAAATATTATTAGTATGAATATAATTAAAATAGGTATTATTAAAACCTGAGTGACGTCTCTAAATTGAAAAGTTTTATCTAAGCGATGCATGCGATTGTGCACGTTACTTTCTCATTGTTCAAGGTAAGGTCTAGGTCAAAACTAAGTCTAGGTCAAGACCTTTCACTGACTGCTATAAATATTTTGTTGATTTAACAATCTGTACTTGGGTAAAAGTTCTGATAAAAAAAAAATTAACGTAAAAATTATTTACAATTGGGGATTGAAACTTGATGTAAACGTAACGCCTTATTAGACATTTTGAAGGGATCTATAGCAGGTGATTCGGGTGAGCCAAAGTACTTAATAAAACAATCTGAATTAATAACGTTTAAATGTTAACGCTTATTTGCAACTGCTAAATATTTGGTCAATAAGAAACTATAACGGTACACGAGAATGTCTGGTTTCTGATACCAAGTATGATATTTATAAACTACTATTTTGTTTAAATTAATTACTTACATTATTTTACAAGTAACGCGTTTTTTAATATTTATGATACAAATCGAGCCGGTATTCTAGTTGTCTATATAAAATCGAAAAGTTAAAAAAATTATTTTTTATAAGTTTTTTAAATAGTTCACATAGCACCGTTTAATTAGTACACAACATAGAAACTAGTGATGGGAATCGGAAAATCCGGATTTTCACAAAAAAACGCTATTTAAGCTACTTAAAAATCATATAAATTAAATAATTTTACAATATAAAGCTCTATATCTAAGTAACACTTTTTTGATAAATATGTGAAAATAAAACAAAACACCAAAGAGATAAACTGCTTTTGAATTTCGGATTTGTTGAAATCCGAAATCCGAAAGCATTTTATTTCTTTGGTGTTTTGTTTTATTTTCACATATTTATCAAAAAATTTTACTTAGGTACACATCTTTATATTGTAATAGTATTTAACAATTATATGATTTTCAAATGACTTAAAAAGCGTTTTTTTGAAAAATCCGGATTTTCGGATTCCCATCACTAATAGAAACTTACATTATACTAAGCGGCGCTAACACTATTTACACCGATCGTCGTTAAGCGTTTAACCCGCAGTCTTATAGATTAATAAGTAAAAGTAAATTACGACTGAACAGTACTTAGTGAAACTGTTTTGTGTGCATCATAACTATGACTGTAAATAAAATAGTGAAAAATCGTATATTTTTTGTTGTAAGTGTTATTGTTTGTATTTTTATTAAACAAATAGATACATTTTGGAGTTACCTTTGAACTACGTACATATATAGTCAGTAGATGTTACTTATTCATCTTACAATAATTATTAGATTAAGACAGTCAATACTATGATTATATTGTATAGCAAACAAATAACGTATTCTGGCTAATCCATTCCTGGAACTTTACCCGACTAACGCATTTTCCTTATTTTGTCTAAAGTGAGTGCACGAAACACCGCATTCATACATTGTCGGTCACTATTAATTCCGAATAATTACACGCGAAAAAACGTGAACTACACAAGAATGTAGAAACTAGAAATCAAAATATAAATACACGTGGTCGATGAAATAATTCTTAGATTACCGACTCTAGACACGGACGGCGGCGGAGGTACACAAGACCGTGTACACTGTACAGAGAGTGTGTGTTGACTCGTTAACAATTTAACGTAGGAGTATGTCCTAATTAGTAGACAATGTATAATAAATAATAATGTGTGTTCGGTTCGACTGTATCGTTTAACTAAGAGCGATGATCTCGAAATGACAAAAATCGCGGTCTACTTTTATCGCATGAGGTCAAACGTCCTCTTTTAAGACCTAATAAAAAACGTTCAAAAATAATATATTAGCATAATTAAAAGTCATCTGTCCGGAAGTCTGGTAGGTGCTATTTATGTATCAAGTCTCAAGATCGAATGAAGACTAATGTGTCTCTGTATAGGAAGCTCCTACGCGTCAAGCAAACGAGTCGAGTCACTAAATAATTTAGCCATTAAAAAATATAAGTACTGCCTACAAGAACGCGGTCTGCGGGGTGCCGACGGTACGGGAAGATCCCGAATTTCTGTATGTCAGTATAATGACTTCGTTAATTGAAAATCATTAGCAATTATGATTCATAAAATTTGTCGCGGTTTAGTGCATGTTGTGCGACCGCAAATTTCCGGGTCATGTACCATATATTATAGCATGTCTCCCAATGTTCTGGTGTGAATTTACATTCGCAATTTCCACAACACATTCGTGGAAACACCTCAGGCACATCCCGTTTTGGAAATTTCCTATTGGGCGCCACTACGAATTTGGTGAAGTGGGAAACGGATTTTGTTACAATAATATGAGCACAGGACGAGCACACAAAAAATGTCGTCCAATATATATACAAAATAATAATCGACCGATGACGATGGTGCGTACGGTGAAAGCGGTACGGCCGGCGAGCTTATAAGGAATTTCCTTCGCGGTTTGCATATATAATATACTGCTGTAAAATTTTTTGTATTTGGAAGTGTTTTTGGGAAATTGTTTGCGTTCGGTCAACTCAAACTATACCGCGTGTTTGAACTCTGGTGTTTCTATGCAATGGCGGTGCTATAGGTACTCATGTGTCAAGACACATACAACGTTGATATTGGGCAGCCGTGGGAGAAAACGCTGCGAGAAACCAGTCCGACGACCTAGGGAATCGGCGACCGACTCCGGAAGAAAATCGGTAAACGCCGGACGAACCAGTTTTCGTGACTGCGTTAACCCGTCTACAACGGCAAGACTTCCGGCGAGATGACTTTGCAGCGACCGAAGACGTTTCGTTTGTATGTATTATTGTGACGGGCACGTTGGAATAATAAAATACAAATTAAACTTGTGTAGTGTGTGTGTGTGTGTGTGTGTAATCCGGTCGGCGGCCGTTTTCAGGTCATCAATAATGGATATATTAAGTCGTTTTCCATCGCTCGCGGTTACCGCAGTAAAAAAAAAAAAAAATCTAACCTCAGACAGTGTTTTTTTTTTCATTTATCGACTCGCGCGATAATCCTCAGTTGTAGTAGTAGAGGTAAAACAAAAATGTAATAAATAAGCTCGACATTGGCATTACGGATACTCGTCGCCATAATAATAGTAATACTCGTACAGCTTTCATCGGAAACGTTTTGCCGATGCGACCATGATTCGTTTGACCATTTTCATTATCGTCATCTTTATTAGGTGTTTTCCATTTCTCCGTAGTACGCTTGGATATAATAATACACCGTTGTTACACTAAGCCTAGATCGCAAATCGTTTATGTCTCCGGAGAGTCGCGTCATTAAGGCATGTGGGCGCTATTATCCAGGCGGGACTCTGAAATAGTTGAACACTTTTAAGTGCTAATCGACGGATTGCCCAACGTTGTCCGGTTATTGGTTCGGTTGTATGTTTTATGAGAAAAAAAGGGTCGAAAGCGCCAATTCAATATGTCAATTAGTCGAGTAAATACGGCCGGTTGAGTCCGGATTGCAGAAGCGCCGAAAGGATAATTACACCGGCGCTCGGCGTTGTTTTTTTAATGCTTCGACATTGATTTGTTCATTACACGACAAAAAACAAAAGGAAAAAAACGCCTAAATCGCCCGTATAAATGCGTGTTTATGTAGGTACGCGATTCACGATTGAACTATCTGAGTGACGTTGCTGTATAGCATGTGCGGCGTATTGTAGTGTAATATACTTGTACTTGTCATGATATAATAATAGCTAATATTGTATATATATATATATAATGTGCTACAGCGATGGAAGATTTTCTCATAAAAATATCAACACACGTTTACCGGTCGACCCGTTAAACACAAGACAGGTCGTCGTTAACCTCTGCCAATCGTTACGGGTATACGGCTATATGGTCCTTCGGGCCGGATTCTTAAGATGAATTATTTTTGACAGATCAACGGGATTTGGTGATAAACCGTTACGCGAATTTCATAATCTAACGTAAGTTGACATTATCTAATACCCTCTGTGTGCGTTGAACTGATTAATATTGTAAAGGCCATAACGTTACGTCGTCCGCGGTTCGTTCAAAACTGGTTCGATCTCGTATCTTTTTTTTAAAGATGTATTTTTTATTCGAAAATACATCTCATAGATATTATTATCATTACGGTAGTTTTATGGGCAAGTTTTATAACGGAAATAAAGATCTGATCAGCTGCAATGCATTTAAATTTGTCTTGGCACGAGATGCTTATAATATTACAGCCCGTCCGATACATCTTGACCCTAGGGCGACCGTTACATTTTCAAATTACAAATATTAGAGGTCAATTAAATGGTCGGCACACAGACTTGTAGGCAATATTATTATGTAATTTTATTCGAAATATAATATATTTTATTATCCTCATAATATTCCGGTAGACGGTTAACATTTCAAATACAAATACATTATATTGATTTATTTAAAGGCAAACGTGTTTAACGGTAGCTATATAATATCAATTATTATGCTTTTAAACTCTTACGTGCGGACAAGTTAAACTAGATGAATTATAAAATGAAACCTTCTTTTTTACAATATTAACTATGTATGCATAACATGAATCATCCTCGTCCATGGATAGATTTTATAGTGAAATTTGTTTTTTGATATTCAGTTTTTTTATTCGACAAACACATCATTCTATACGTTGCACAATAACGTTTTGTGGGTCATTCGTACGGATAAGTACCCGTTGAGGTGGAGCTATAGCTCATACACACACACATACATGTTAAAAATGACCATTTGGAGCGCAAGCGTTGCGGAAACGGATGCGTAGAAAGTCATGGCCATCAGCATAAAACGGAATAATTAACAACGCTTGAAATAAAATTCTTCTTCTTTCTTTACTCTAACGACGTTAATTAGGGTGAACGATTTATTTTATACTAATAACATGATATGCCTATAGTGCCAAGCGTATGGCCGCAGTTGAAAACTACTACCGCCCACTATATATCCGCTGTTTGCCTAAGTATTACCTATTATTATTAATATCTATTATACAGGCACTTTATTGTCTGTTGATGAGCCTCGATCGCACGGACCGGTTACCACAATCATCGTTTGTAATAATAATGCCGTCGACATAAACAACGAGGTATTATAATAATATTAGCGGCGATGATAAAATGAGAGTATGATTTTCATAGTAATATTATCGATTCCTTCCTCGACCCAGCGTGTGTCGCTGCAAAGCCTCACGATGGACCTTCGTGCAATACCTTAATTAGATATCGTTTTGTAATTTTAATTCGTCACACGATGCCCGTTTATTAGTTTGAACATAAACACTGGTATAATATTTTTCACATCCCGAAACTCCCATCGCGTTTATCGGAAACGCCGACATAGAAAGAAAAAAAATCGTTCTTAAGCGCTCTCTCCGGTATCTAATTCGATTACGCGATGATAATGATAATATCATATCATATAGCGTCTGATAGACTTAATGATAGGTGTTATTCTACTATAGTGAACTCTAAATTACTAGATACACGATCGAATTTTGTTACCCGGATAAATTCCGTATGGCAATCATCATGACCGCTGATGAATCACGAATCACTCGCCGTTAAATAGACATGGATCGTTATTTTCAAATCTGAAAGTTCACGTTGGAAAACAAGGTAACCGATTTACCTTTTTTGTAAACTAAACCGATCCTCATCACGAGTTATAATGGCAAATTTTGTACGCGACGTTATCGTGTACAAAACTGTTAAAACAACCTAAAGCTATTTTCCAAAAGGGAATTTTTATATAAATTGAACACCGCTTATTTATTAAAAATACGTTACCCTCGGTCAACACTAAGGCAACACATTGAAACTTCCATTAATCTGCCATTAAACTAGTCATTAATCTGTACCAACCACCAACGAACATCTAACAGATAGGACTCACAATACTGTTATTCACATGTGGTCAGTAAGATTAGGGTTATGTGTAAGGGTTATTGACTAAAACCGTTTTACTAGGGTATGAATGTTATAATATCTATATAGTATGAACATGAACATACTGCCTACAATGGTAACTTTTAGTAAATCGATTTTAATTGCAACAGTATTTTTTTATTGGTACATGGTTATAATTAAATAATACTAACCATTAACTGATTTATTAGGTACAGGTAACAAAATAGATCACACTTTACATATGTGTATAATACAAGAGCATTAAAGTTTTAATTAAAGGGATGATAATAGGTAAATAAAGTATGGAAATGAAGGCTGCGTTGAGTTTGGATAAAAAAAAAATGAAAATGTTTTTTTAAGGAATAAACAAATAAGAATTTGGGTAGGTATAGTAACAGTTACAATTGTAAAATAATTATTGCTAATCAAAATGTACTTGTCCACGCATCGTTTAGAGGAATACGGGGATGCAATTGCTTTTCAGAAAAACTTTCTGAAGAGTAAGACTGTTTGCTCTTCCTACCCACTCTGAAAACTGACGAAATAGCGGTTAATGATTGTTTTATATCTAATATTATAACGCAAGAGTTTTTTACCGCCTGTGTTTTTTAATATATTCTAATGTGTATTATAGAAACTAGATTATCAAATTTAGTACACTGAAACCTATTTATCATGTTATTATTATAAAATAATTAATATGTTTAGTATAATATATCAATAGTTTTTAATTGTTTCGAATGAAGTAACTTTAATTTTTAATGACGGTGCTTTGACTTAAGTTATTAAGGAATTAAGCGACTACAAAAAGTGACGGAAGAGGACGAAGGAGCAAAAATGTTTGTAAGTACGGTCTATGAAATCATTCATCCGCATCCTTTTTTTTTTTCTGTAAACAAGTCATCGCTTCCTCCCCTTTGCAATGTTTGTGGATTTTGAACTTTGACGAGACTCACCTTAACGCAGTCGGCGGTTGACGGTCAGCACTTTTGCACGATCGCACTAGGCACACGGTATTGTTAATAACACTGTTAAAATGATGTACTACACTCGCACAAATTTCAACAGCTATCAATTGTGAGAAAACGCGATACCGACCACGCGAAGTACGTTAAACAATGTTACTTGGTAAAGGCGAAGAAAAATATAAACTGTCCACTGAACGTGCGGAGCGGTTGGCGACTGACCGGCATCTACGGGTGAAACCATCGGCAGACCGGCGATAGTGGTCGTACCTATGTCGGCGTTCTCCTCTCTTCGCGCCCCGTCACCGCCACGGGTTGCCAATTAGTGCATGTGCTCCTTAGAGGGGACTTGTAGCCTAACCAAGGAGACTTTAACGCTTTTTAATGAGTACGTTTGCACCGAGGACAGGTAACCTTACCAGTAACCATATTATAATAGTTGATGCGGTACAACGAATCGCGTCAAAACAGGATGCGGCAGGCCGTCTGCGTTCGAGCTGCCTTGGAACGCGGCTGAGACTTAATCTTAAAAATTAACACAAAAGCCATTTGCAACACCTTAAACGTTTCACGAGTAAAAATTACCTCAAACAAGTGAAACTATACATTATAGGGACGTTTTTTTAATGCGTATAGCAAGATCACTATGAACGATTTTAAGTAGGTACTTATTTATAAAATGAGTTCTTGTCAGTATTTAAGAGCACACACTTTTTGGCTTCGGCGAGTTGTTTGTTATTTTCAAGCTAACTACTTTTTTTATAATTAAAACCTAAAGGCTACATAGTTAATTCGATTTAAATACTATATAGCGTCACAACGTAAACATATTTTCTTCTATATCCTAAAACAAATGTTTAAAAGTGGAATTGATTGATTGTTGTATCGAATACATTATTTATACAAACAGTTATATTTTAAAAACTTTCACCGCTCGTAAACAGAAATATAAATAACATGATACTCTAATCTATCGAAGTAAAAAATGTGAATACTAATTTTTTTTTCGTTTTAAACACAGTTTGTATTCATAACACAATGTACATTCACAACAGGACCTAACCTAACAAACAGTGTCGAGTCGATATTGTCGACACATAATTTATAGCTCCAATTTTTTCTTTAGATAGGTACTTAACGTTTTGAATATGATTTTTTTTAATGTGAAATTATGACTATTAAGTGTGTGCTGAAAAATAGTGAATATGATATTAATAATTACTTCTGAGAAAATAATTCATTATATATTACAGCATTAGCAATAAGATCAACTGAAGAATAAATAATGTCGATTACCCTGCGGGTAAGTTTTAAGTAAGTTTAGAAGGGCTTGAGTCTTCCCCCACCCCACAAAAAAAAATGAAGCCTATTTCTCCACTATAACTGAATCATTATTTTTGATCTTGCACTGTAACTTCAAATTGGTTTACTTTTACGTTTAAACTGCTCAGTTCTTTAGAAAAATGCATTTCCTCGACATGATTAGCACGCCCTCCTATAATTTCAAGTAAAGATATGAAAGCTAATGCATGTAACAATTAAAATAACTACACCGTGGGACACATTATTAACTGATGAATTTTGATTGCAAGATAAATGTTCACACGTCGTACTCGAAGGCTTGAAAATAAATTAATATGTTAGCTTACTTTAGTAGCACCGCCAAAGCGTGGCTGTGGACCACGGTCATGCTGAAATACAATGAAAATATAATATATTATGGTCGGATCATTTACGCCGCCATCATGGGATTTTCTTTTTTACACGTACAATAATTATCATTATCGTCATTGTTTATAAACGTCGTTGTAACGATAATAAACCTATCTTTAAAATTTATATCCGAGTATAATGTTTACAAAGAAATAAAAAAAAATTAAGTATACTACAATAAAGCAGTAATGGGACCGTTTTATGTGTATATACTGTATACACTCATAATATCCCAAATCGAAAGTGCAAGTCCTGCGACGATTGGGGTTCGCCTGCGGATGAAATACATTTAGTTCTATACCTAGTATCTACTACGATGACAACTGCTTCAATTATAGCAGTATAAAAGCATATAACATATATATATAAGTAGTAATTCAATATAAACAATCGAATAATAAAAGTCAAGAGTAATACATGACGTGCAGTGTCTCTAATTCGTGATTCAGCAGTATTATTTTTCTCAAACAACAATAAAAATAATAATTGTTTGATCAACGCGCGCTCAGGGCTATGGTGCAATAGGATTTTGATTGTATAATTATATTATTGTTGTTATTGGAATCATTTGTACCCAGTCAATAGGGCTAAGTTGTGCAGTGGGTTGCTAGGGTGGCCCAGTTTTCTTTTTCAATTCTATTATTATTATTATTATTATTATTATTATTATTACCTATCATCTATATAGTATACATGCACTTACACTGCGTCTCGCGGGCCGCGGCTAATCCAAACACCATTGCAAGTACCGTCATCGATCAGTAGTAATATTTTTAAACGTCCATTCGAGTTTTATTTAAACTTCTTGGTACGATTACAATATCACATGTAATAATGGGCTTAACGTTGGTTTCTAGAGTACAACCCGGAAAAGAAGAAAACTGCCTAATAACAGTCAAACCGCTTGTCTTGACCGAAATCCAACAGAACAAATAAACATGTTCCCGAAACTAGTTTTCTGTATGCTAGGCTGTCTTGAAGCACTTCTTATATGCCCACATTAATTCTAAAATATATATTGAAATATTCCAATCCCGTCACCCTCGTTACAGATGCGAAGACATTAAGATATTAAGAGCTTGAAAAATCGTTTATAAATTATTATTAGCAGGCGCGTCTGTAATACGATGTATGCTATCATCAAATTAGGTTAAGAATACTAAGTATTTATACCTACGCAACGTGTTTACCTTAACGGTTAAATGCTCAGCAGACCGAAATGTAAGCAGAGTTGGGCAAAATTTAATTAAATACAAATAACAACCCAAAACAAATCTAATAACGTATTAAGTAGTAATTAAACTGATTTATCAGTTAACACCAATTTATTTTTATGTACTTAAAATAAGTGGACTGTATTTCGATCTAATTTATATGTTATAAGCATACAAAGATGGGTCAGGTGAGTGGTAAACGAGCATTGTCGGACTACACTAGACCGGTTAGGAGGTTATCGGCCGATAACAATTTATAAAGGTAAATAATATTACTAATTAAAAATTTCGCTAAACTGACCATAATTTTGTTCTCGGTTATTTTCAAACAACAATTTATTCAAATGAACAAACAAAATTTCCGAATATATTTTCATTCTAATAAATTATAAATATCATAAATATACCATTATCCGAAAAAAAAATGTATGGTAAGAGTTTTTGTTTAGCCTATCTAACGAATAATCTCAAATTGCGACTATTAGTGTTGATGGTAAAAATCACAAATTAATTTCAGGTAAAGAAACAAACTTCAATATAGGTGCATTTTAAAACATCACTGAAAACTACTATGACCTTTTTATTAAATATGATGTTATTAAATTGTATTATTGTTCAAATAAAAATATAAACATTATTCTTTATTCTACAATGAAACTATTATTTTTTCCATCAAATAATAATATATTCAAATAATTTCTTATTTAAAAAATCATTTTAAAAAAAATTATTTGAAAAATTTCCAACTTTGAATTAAAGTAACAGACCCGATTCACTTGAAACACTTTCACGGTATTTTTATTTATATATTTTAACAAATTAAAACCAATAATACATAGTTAAAATTTATTCATCCGTCTGTGTATATATTTGTAATTATTTTTAATTTAATCTAAAAACATATATTTCAACTACAGCTTGATTTTCAATTGGCACTCAACGGCAAGAAGACTCGTTAGACTCGTTGAAGTTACTCTATTTTATCTAGTTAAATATAATTATATTAATTCTTCAGTTTTCACTGCATTTTCTTCGCCTACACATTGTGGGTCACAAGAATTTGACAGATTTATACTTAAAAATGCAAATCAGCTTCTGACCCACAATGTGTAGGCTATAAAATGTAACACATTAGTGCCATACATTAAATATTCAATTAATAGACTACCTAATTAAAACAACTACACTTATTAGTAAAGTCAATATAATAAGAATAAATTATTTGTCTGTGTATAGAGGTATGTAAAATATAAATGTAATTTCTCAATTCATACAAACATCTTTGTAAATTTTTCAAAACGCTTCTGTTAACCGTGCGTAAAAGAATAGTGTGTACCAGCAAAATATTATCTTTTTTGACTGTAAAACATATATTTTGGCTCTGAACTCGCTGTGTGACGTTTTACAATAAATAATAGTCCGTTTTCACACCAAATATTAGTTACGAGGCGTCTCCTCAATTTAATATAATTATCATTCTACTGTATTACTAACATATGATTTCTAATCGATTGATGTGCTTATGGGTAATTATAGAAATCGGTACAGTAGATAATTAAGCGACATAAGAAAATATACATCATTATATAATTATAACTATTTGTAAAAACAATAACTTCTCAGCTTCGCATCGAACGAAATAGACAATTATATTTGAATGCAGCGTAATTAAAGCTGGATTAGCTTGGTGAATAGTTTATGTTTTGTCATTTATATCCACAGTTTGAGATAATTATATATCGTATAACATCTTTATTCAATTCGGTTAAAACCCATAATAATATGTCGTTAGTAAAAACGACAGTGAAATTTTCACAAATATTTTCAAAGACACTAATACAACAATACTTCTTTTGTGTAAGGATTTGTTTAATATTTCTCTATACACAAATACACTCGTGTAAACGTATCTGTTACACGCCAAATGCGCGACAAGTTTTGTAAGCGATTAGACTATAGATATATCTTATTATGACAACTTAATAAAGTGTCTATTGATTGATAGAATCGTTAACACTAATTAAACAAAAACAAAGTCTCAGCATCTTTCCGAGTCCATTAATTATGTTAACTAAAATTAGACGTGCGTGCGTGCCTACCACTGAGCGATACGTCCTGGGCTAGACATAAACTTACCGTTGTGCTATTAGAGAGTACCTATATTGAAAGAGGCCAACACATTTTAATTTATAAATTATACATGATTTATTAATCAAGCAATCCAATACTAGTAAAAGACATTGGGTTTGCATTGCATTTCCTCGTCGAACTATTATAGTTTGAAGGTTCCGGGTTCCTAACATTATTAAGACAGCTATAATTGCAT